GATGGCGAGAATATTTCGAGGAACTTTTAAATGTTGAGGAAGAAAGGGAGGCGGTAATTTCATACACTGGCCAGGGAGGTATACCATCTTTTAGGAGTGAAGAAGAGCAGAATGTAAGTGTGGTGGAGGTACGTGAGGCATTACGTAGAATGAAAGGGGGTAAAGCAGCTGGAACTGATGGGATCATGACAGAAATGTTAAAAGCAGGGGGGGGATATAGTGTTGGAGTGGTTGGTACTTTTGTTTAATAAATGTATGAAAGAGGGAAGGTACCTAGGGATTGGCGGAGAGCATGTATAGTCCCTTTATATAAAGGGAAAGGGGACAAAAGAGATTGCAAAAATTATAGAGGAATAAGTTTATTGAGTATACCAGGAAAAGTGTACGGTAGAGTTATAATTGAAAGAATTAGAGGTAAGACAGAATGTAGGATTGCGGATGAGCAAGGAGGTTTCAGAGTGGGTAGGGGATGTGTAGATCAAGTGTTTACATTGAAGCATATATGTGAACAGTATTTAGATAAAGGTAGGGAAGTTTTTATTGCATTTATGGATTTAGAAAAGGCATATGATAGAGTGGATAGGGGAGCAATGTGGCAGATGTTGCAAGTATATGGAATATGGAATAGGTGGTAAGATACTAAATGCTGTAAAGAGTTTTTATGAGGATAGTGAGGCTCAGGTTAGGGTGTGTAGAAGAGAGGGAGAATACTTCCCGGTAAAAGTAGGTCTTAGACAGGGATGTGTAATGTCACCATGGTTGTTTAATATATTTATAGATGGGGTTGTATTATTATTATAATCAAAAAGAAGCGCTAAGCCACAAGGGCTATACAGCAGATGGGGTTGTAAAAGAAGTAAATGCTAGGGTGTTCGGGAGAGGGGTGGGATTAAATTTTGGGGAATCAAATTCAAAATGGGAATTAACACAGTTTACTTTTTGCTGATGATACTGTGCTTATGGGAGATACTAAAGAAAAATTGCAAAGGTTAGTGGATGAGTTTGGGAATGTGTGTAAAGGTAGAAAGTTGAAAGTGAACATAGAAAAGAGTAAGGAGATGAGGGTATCAAATGATTTAGATAAAGAAAAATTGGATATCAAATTGGGGAGGAGGAGTATGGAAGAAGTAAATGTTTTCAGATATTTGGGAGTTGACGTGTCGGTGGATGGATTTATGAAGGATGAGGTTAATCATAGAATTGATGAGGGAAAAAAGGTGAGTGGTGCATTGAGGTATATGTGGAGTCAAAAAACGTTATCTATGGAGGCAAAGAAGGGAATGTATGAAAGTATAGTAGTACCAACACTCTTATATGGGTGTGAAGCTTGGGTGGTAAATGCAGCAGTGAGGAGACGGTTGGAGGCAGTGAAGATGTCCTGTCTAAGGGCAATGTGTGGTGTAAATATTATGCAGAAAATTCGGAGTGTGGAAATTAGGAAAAGGTGTGGAGTTAATAAAAGTATTAGTCAGAGGGCAGAAGATGGGTTGTTGAGGTGGTTTGGTCATTTAGAGAGAATGAATCAAAGTAGAATGACATGGAAAGCATATAAATCTACAGGGTAAGGAAGGCGAGGTAGGGGTCGTCCTCGAAAGGGTTGGAGAGAGGGGGTAAAGGAGGTTTCGTGGGCAAGGGGCTTGGACTTCCAGCAAGCGTGCGTGAGCGTGTTAGATAGGAGTGAATGGAGACGAATGGTACTTGGGACCTGACGATCTGTTGGAGTGTGAGCAGGGTAATATTTAGTGAAGGGATTCAGGGAAACTGGTTATTTTTATATAGTCGGACTTGAGTCCTGGAAATGGGAAGTACAATGCCTGCACTTTAAAGGAGGGGTTTGGGATATTTATTGGCAGTTTGGAGGGATATGTTGTGTATCTTTATACGTATATGCTTCTAAACTGTTGTATTCTGAGTACTTCTGCAAAAACAGTGATTATGTGTGAGTGTGGTGAAAGTGTTGAATGATGATGAAAGTATTTTCTTTTTGGGGATTTTCTTTCTTTTTTGGGTCACCCTGCCTCGGTGGGAGACGGCCGACTTGTTAAAAAAAAAAAAAAAAAGTAATTACATTCTGGAGAAAGCTAAACCTGTAGGGAAATGTTAGACAATCAGATTCAATCCAAGGCATGGGAGGTCAGGTCCAATTCACTGGACCAAGAGCCCCACACCAGCATCAAGACACTTGCCTTGATGGGCATGGTTTGTGAGATGCCAGGTCATCCTACCCATCCCAAGACAAGGGCTGCCTATGTAGTTAGATTCTAGGTCAAATTCACTTCTAGATTACTGCTCTAGTTTATACTGTTCTCAAGTATTGTGTTTATACAACCTGTATTTTATCATTGTTGTTGTTATTAAATAGTATTATTATTGGAGGTATGAGTGTATGAGCACATATGAGAATATATTTTGTGTATTCTGTAAAATTTTATTCACATTACTAGTACATACTCTATATTCAAAAATTAAACACGTAACTCTCACAGGTCACGAACTGTTATATTCACAAGTAAGAGCTAAACCTCAATAGATCACAGAGTGCTGATGTTAATAAATTTAAACAATTACATGTAAACTGCCAATAATTCCATTGCTAAATCATAGCTACCAGTTTGCGGTGGAATTTGAATTTGAGATCCTGAATCCCCTTACCAGTCATAATATACTAAATACTGTATTTAAATTCTTTATATTTTCTCATACAAGTGTAGGCAGACGAGTGTTGATCATATGCAATATGGGTTGTCTCAATATAATTGGGGTGTTGCTAAAAGAAAACAATTGCTAAACCCTAATGGGTCATCCAGCTCTAAGGGAAAGGTGCTCAAATTCTTCACAGGCCTGCACTGACATCAGTGCAGCCAACCCTGAAGGACAATTATAATTATGGGGAAGTGCTAAACTCTTAAGGGTTATACAGTGCCTGAGAAATGGGAGGCAATCAGGTTTAATCAAAGTAGAGGGTAGCTCCAATTTCCTAATCAAGAGCACTTCACAGGCATCAAGGCACCTCCTCTGATGGGATTTTAAGGGCAATATGTATTAAGGTGTAAATGAGATTTTTTTTTTTTTGGGCTGAATGGAAAGTGTTTGGCAGGCTTAATATATTCATGGAAAGCACTAAACCCATAAGGGTCATCCAGCACTGCTAGGCCTATTAGTGGAAATGAAGGAAGCTTGAGATTAAACATTTATGACAGGGCTGAGGTGCTGTGATGTGTGTTGAAATATTTAAAAAAAAAAATGAATTACACACTGGGCTGATGCAATCGTTACCAAAATAGTTTTGTATTTTCTTGTAAATAAATGTTTGAAAAACACATTCAATTCTCACTATCCTTGGACCTTCATAACGTATTTTTGAAGAGCAAACCAACAAACTACCAAATATTCCGGCATATATGCCGCACTTTTATTTTTCCCCAGTCTTCGAAAATCAGCTTTCACGTAATATTCTCAAGGTCAAGGTCAAAGGCAGGCTCTGGCTTACGCTTAAGCAGTTGTTTACTAACATTGTTACAACTGCTTGGAAAAACCGTCCCCTCAAAGGTTCCTTGACGCTGATGAGGGACTCCTTTATCTAGGGAATTTAATCTGTGCTCCAGTTCCCTGAATTGAGTCTGACTACCTTCCATAACCCCTCCCCCACATGCACTATAATCCTACAGGTTTAGTGCTCCCCCTGTGATTATAATTATAATAATTGGAAACATTGTCTTGCATGCTTTACTTACTCACAAGCCTTACATGCCGGAAAATATGGTATGACCAATATCGTTTTTTCATTATATACTGACAATATACCACTAAACCCAAATAAGGTATTCAGAACTGTCCCAAAAACTAAATTATTATATCAAAGTACATGTATATTGTCAGGTCGTGCTGTTGCATGCAATCATCTTCACAGTGCCCATTTAAGTCTTAGGTGTTTAAATAAAACACATGGTTTCTCAGAAAGTTAAAATCCAGGGTAAATTTACACACGTGGCCTGCAGATCACATGAAACCACTGCACTTACACTGTTTCCAAAGAGCTAAACCCATGTCACAAGTCAGTGGCATGGGTGACAACAATCATAAATAAATTTAGTAAGGTTAGCAGTGAATCTCACCTGTTATGTACCGCTACCTTCTCACTAATTATTATAATCAAAAAGAAGCGCTAAGCCACAAGGGCTATACAGCTCCTTCTCACCAAAATAGTGATGCCCCTCACTGGTTTACAGATTCAGGGGTAATTACATTCATGGAAGAGTACTAAATCCATGGGGTTACAATTTATGAGTTTAGCACTTTATTTGATTATAATAATATAATTTATCATATAATTTATAATAGTATTCAGGGAAAGCACTAAACCCACAGGAGTCAACCATTGCTACACTTGCAGTTTCCACTGGTGGCATGGTAAAGGTCGGAAGGTTTGAGATTTGAAGAGCACTTTAACCTGGGTGATCATTCAGTGCTTTTTCCAAAAAAATATATAACACAAACTAGAAAAAAAAATTTATTAGAATGAATCACAAACAAATACCTGCACACCAGGCTAAAATAAACAGCATTAGTTGCAAATCCCATTAAACTTACAATATCAAGACCCCTATAATTTTTCAGGGACCCCTACAAGCATCCAGGTAATTATAAAAAACCATGATGAAAGGAAAAAGGCCTCAGAGCTGAGCCAAAAGTTGTTACATTTGTAGGGAAGTGCTAAACCCATAAAGGTCATACAGCACCTGTTAAATGGAAAAACACATTCAAGGAAGGCAGGGTCAAGTTCAGTTCCTTGAATCATGAGTTCCTCACTGGCATCAAGGCACCTCCCTTAAAATGGGCAAAAAATTGTGTTCCACAGTCAGCTGCAAACCACAAGCTACATACAGGGAAGCAGGTAGCTATATTGGCATGGTAAATCCTTGCCTATATGGAACATATCACTGGAGCATGGAATTCCTACACCACTTAAATTAATTATAAAGGTAAATTAAAAAAATTGCTACCAGCTATTTTTTATCAAAATGATCCAATTGCTTAACAATTTATTAACATTTCTCAACAATATTTTGAATATAAATTAATGAAGATATTACCCTTCAAAGCATTCTTATAGTGAAGAACAATATCAATTTCTGTAATACACTGACAGGATAATTCCTACATCCTGACTCCTCATAAGATTCATTGCATACCCATTTATTTTCAGACAAGAGGCTACTTTTCTGGAACTTAGGCAATTCTGCCATAATTTATTTTCTGGTAAAAAAAATCTTACACTTTTATTTTCTTGAATAAAGTAATTAGAGGCAGCCTTGAAAAAATATAAAAAAAATATAAGTTTATATTAAATGCAAACCACACTGGGTAGTGTCTTATTTATCAGAATCACCTTTGTTTCTATTGTAAAAGATTAAGTGTAAGATTTGTACCCAAGGGGTCACTTTTTATTACAAAAAATCAGCAGAAGGCACATCATAAACAATATCTTTCATATCTTGAAGAACCAATCAGCAACTCTTCTACAATAAATTTCTTATTCATAATCATACAGTTCATTCATCCCACAAGCATCTGCAATACTAATAACTCCAAAGCATTCTTTGTAGTGTTAACAAAAATACTAGCAACCTTTAAAGATAAATATTTTTTTTCATTATAAAATAAAATTACTTTTTGCTACCCCATCCACCCCAGAGACCTTTAACCAAGCCAGTAAGGCCACCAACAGATGCTCCCGGTGCTTGCTTCTTAGTTTCAATTTTATCATCGAGTGAAGGAAATTCAACATGATTAAGAGCAAGATCAAAGAACAAGGGTTTACATGGCACGGACTTCATGGGTGATGGCACTTGAACTACACAAGCATTGCTAGAAGTCAAACTTGGGTCTTCAACATATTCGTCCAAACGGTCGATAAGCATCTGCCAAAAAAATTAATTAAAAATTATTAAATTCAATTTTATTTAAAAAACTATTACAATTACTGTTAACAGATTGAACACATTTCCATTAAAAATTCCTTATAACAAAATAAAACACAAAGTTATTTAAGCTATTACAATTACTACTGCATCTTGCACATTATATGAAAAATTTACAGCAAAACACAAAAAAGACGAAACCAAGAACTTGACAATAATGTTTGATAGGAGTGAATGGAGACAAATGGTTTTTAATACTTGACGTGCTGTTGGAGTGTGAGCAAAGTAACATTTATGAAGGGATTCAGGGAAACCGGCAGGCCGGACTTGAGTCCTGGAGATGGGAAGTACAGTGCCTGCACTCTGAAGGAGGGGTGTTAATGTTGCAGTTTAAAAACTGTAGTGTAAAGCACCCTTCTGGCAAGACAGTGATGGAGTGAATGATGGTGAAAGTTTTTCTTTTTCGGGCCACCCTGCCTTGGTGGGAATCGGCCGGTGTGATAATAAAAATAAAAAAAAATAAGGATACAGATTTTGCATATATAAAATAACTGCCATAAACTTTTATTATATAAATGGAATATGCTCTTCAGGCCCTCACAAAAGTAAGTCGGCAAAATGTGTTAAACATCCAATATTATATTTTTATAAAAACTTAAAAACTGGGTAAATTTTAATTCATTCTACCTGTATTAAGGTAAAGATGTTTTGACTGTGGTGGTAGTGGTATTGGTCATCATTGTGGGTAAAGATGTTGGAAAAGTGAAGAAAAAGAAAGATAGGAGGAGGATATTGAAACACTTGCTTCCTTTGCCAGGAAACACAATACTTTATCTTTCTTCTGTGTATCTATCAAAAATGTTTTAAAGAGAACTTGAAATGTGGTAACAGTTGCCAGCAAACAAAAGCAAGCAAGTGAAAGTGAGGGGAGACAATATTAGAACATTTCAAGTGCCTGCTGATACCACTAGACAATATGCTCCACATGTGAGAAAGCTACTGTTGTAAAGTTAACAATTAATACTGTATTGTCACATATGAAGACTTGTAATAATGTTGCACAAATGAAGTTAGCCACTAAAGCTGTGCTATTAGTCACCCTCCTTCACAGGCAACTGGATACAGTATGACATATACGGTACAAGATTCCTCCCTCAAATTTTAGTGTACAGTAACACAGTATTTCAGAATAGAGACTAAGTGCCTGAAAGAGTCTGATCACCGGTTAGGCATCTCTCCATCTAAAAGTTCTTGTTAAACAACCCACTCATTTTCTTTGTTACATTTTTTTTTTTTTTTTTACTTAGCATTAGCAATGGCTCTGACTCTGGGTGCACACCTCCCACCATGAGCCATGAGACAATGAGAAATCTAAGTTTTCACAGGTTCCCTTTCCAAGAGATGAAATCCAGGAACTATACACTTTGCTTGTAGCACAGGTTTACTGTGCAACTGAACCCTTTGATTCATATTTTTCAATTATCTAATATTTTTATTGAAGGCCCTCTGTATATAGCTATTTATTTCAGTTTTACCTGGAACATGCTCTCTAAATTGAAAACTGACTACAGAATTTTGTCCACTATGTGCTCAGGATTTCAAATGCCCATATCTTTCTTTTTCTGAATAATTAAATTTAAGTCAAATTTAAAAGGCCTCTGCAATGTAAAATCAGCCTAATTTTGTAAGAAAATTTATTTTGCAGAAAATTTAAAATATCTGCCAATTCAAAATTGACCAAACCTCTAGAACTTAACCCTGCAAATCTGAGTGTTTGACTACATTAAAATACTAAATTTTGTACGCAATTTTCTTTATGTAGACATCATACCATAGCTTTGCAAAAATTTAACCCAATGAAGAGAAAAACTTAATGAAATATAGTACATATTACTACCATTTACTGACAAATTTTACCTAGGTTTATTACTGCTAGTAGCAGAACTGCATAATTACTAAGAATTGTCAAGAGGTCACCACCTAGGATGGGGAACAGTACAGCCACTTGATATATAAATACTTAAGCTCAAAAAAAAAAAAAAAACATGAACACCATTAGTTACCTTCTTGTCCTTTATTGAAAGCTTTGTTACATTAGGAGTTGAAGAGTCTGAAGCAAGAATTGCTTGTGCGTGGGCAGTAAACTTTTTGCTATCTACCAATGCAGACAAATTTTCAAGTCCTTTCACCATTGATGGCTGTTGAACAGAGCAAATAAGAATCTTTACAGATATTTTATATCATAATGATTTATGTTGCATTCACTTAGGGTTCAAGACTGTCAATAAATATAAGGAATATATGAATTAAATACAATGTATGGATTAAAAAACCACCTGCTCCTACCTTCATCTGACTCTTGTCTGCAGCTTTAATGTGGGCTAACGTTCTTTCATATAAAACGAGCGCCTCAGCCCATTTTTCCATCTTGACAAAACTCTCAGCCACAAAATAACACCTGTAGCAATGAATTAAATATGAGCGAAGGTTTCACAAAAAAAAAGCAATACAGCACATAAAAATATAGTATTTTAGATAAGAAATGCAGTGGGACATCATCTACCACAGCATTTGTGGTAGATGATGTCCCATTTGACTAGAGGAGAAGTCATGTCTGAAGGCAATGTGTAGTTTGAATATTATGCAAAGAATTCATATCTTGGAGATTAAGAGGAGGTTAAGGGATGGAGCAAAATAGGATTACTTAGAGGGTGTATAAATCTGTAGTAGAGGGTAGGAGGGGTAGGGGTCATCCTAGGAAATGACAGAGTGACAGGGTAAAGGAGGTTTTGTGTGCAAGGAGCTGGGACATACAGCAGGCATGTGTGAGCATGTTAGATAGGAGTGAGTGGAGACAAATGGGTTTTGGGATTTGACGAGCTGTTGGAGTGTGAGCAAGGTAATATTTAGTGAAGGGATTCAGGGAAACCGGTTATTTTCATATAGTCGGACTTGAGTCCTGGAAATGGGAAGTACAATGCCTGCACTTTGAAGGAGGGGTTTGGGATATTGGCAGTTTGGAGGGATATGTTGTGTATCTTTATATGTGTATGCATCTAGACTGTTGTATTCTGAGCACCTCTGCAAAAACAGTGATAATGTGCGAGTGTGGTGAAAGTGTTGAATGATGATGAAAGTATTTTCTTTTTGGGGATTTTCTTTCTTTTTTGGGTCACCCTGCCTCGGTGGGAGACGGCCGACTTGTTGAAAAAAAAAAAAAAATTAAGGAAAACCAGTTATCCAGACCTGGGTCTTGGAGGTGGGAAGTACAATACTTGTACTCTAAAGGAGGGGGGTTTAGAATACTTGCTGTTTAGAGGGACATCTAAACTATCGTATCTGCATGCCTCTGGCAAGACAATGATAGTGTGAATGATGGAAGTTTTTTTTTCTGGGTCACCTGTGAGCTTTGTAGGTTGATATCTGGGCCTCAATGCTTTGCTTTAATTGTGAATCATCTTCTAATCCAGCCAAATGAGTAATTTCTTTCAGATTTTGGATGATAATTTCTTGCAAACGTACCAAATCTTGCAACTTGGGGGCTTTTTTTCCATCTTCAACCTGTAAATAGACAGATCCTATATATATACTTAACTTCATTTAGCACTTTTATACATGAAACTGAACAACACATGTATTCTTCTTAGATAATATCTTCTTTAACCCCTCTCAATGTCCATCATGTAGAACTATGTCATGAGCTCAACTCACGATAAATCATGATAATCATTCTGGTTTATATTTTATTATCAAATTTTTTGTAGTAATGAATTCAAAATGGAAGGCACATGTAATATAAGAGAGGCCTGGGGATGTGATTAATGAAGAGAGGAAATATTTTACTGCCTGGAATGTTTACAGTGTTTATTTTGGACTTTTAAAAACAAAAATATCTTAATTTTCCATAAAACTGGCCAAATTATTGATCTCTGCACATTTTACAGGGTAGTTTTGATACTTGAATGGGTGGTTTCTTGTGCTCAATCAATAGACTGGTAGGTATACTAGTGAAATAGCTAAAAATTTGGTTGAACTGACTTATAGAACTGGTTTAAAATAGAACTCAAGAGTCAGCAAAATCACTAATGCATAAACTGCACCCAGATCGCTTACTTTGCATCTGCGTAATTCTTCATAAAATTATCAAGTCTCTCTTTGGAAAACCAAACAGGTAACTGTTACATACTGTATGCTATACAGGGAAAGACTACACATAGCAGCTGTTGCTGCTCTTTTCTTCTCCCTTTTCTCCCTTCCCATCCCCTCTCCCAAAATAAGAGCTTCAGAAAAAGCATACAATCAAAAATGAAGTCAGTTGAAAATGAAAGCAATAAATATATGCAGATTGAATGTGCATACATAGAAGTTTGCAAAATTTACCGGTATGCCATCATACATGAACACGAGAATAAAAGGACCACTGATCAGCCACAGGTACATTAATCACAGATTACACTAAGTGTAAACACTATGACATACCGTAATTTCCCCAGAGACAATCTTCTGGTATGTTTCTACAAGAGCAACATTGCGGAGAACAGTGAGGTTGAGTCGGTGATATGACAAGTAAGTATGAAGAAAGTGCAGAGGTGATACTGGGCCCTCAGTGGCCAATTGTCTGGGTTTAAAGGTCTGAAAAGACAAAAAAAATTCAAAATGTTTTAACCATTTACTACCAGAAATAATGAAATCAAATGCTGTATACAGATAGACAATGTACATTAGTAATTTCAAACATTACAGTTACCATTCAGATTACTTTTTCATTAAATACACGAAAAACCCGCATATAGGAGAGAGGAACTTACGCCAATGTTTCAGTCCAACTTGGACCATTTACAAAGTCACACTAACAGAAAGGAGAGAAGGTCCAAGTCGGACTGAAACATCATCATAAGCTCCTCTCTCCTATGTGTGGGTTATTTGTGTATTCCCCCAGTCATGGTATTGTGCCTTGTTGTTCATTACTTTCTCAGTTTCAAACATATTATTTACAAAATTCAACAGTAACAGTTGAAAACATAGTTGTCCTTACAGGATCATTCTTAAGGTCATCTCGCACCAACTGGAGGGCATCTTTACACTCCATCAACAGTTTGTCCAACATTTCAACACGCTCATCTGCACTGGTGGTTTTATCCAATTCTTCATGGATCAGACCCTCATTGAGCAAGAAGAGACGAACCTAAAACGGAGAAAAATGGACATTAGTCATATTTAAGAATTCATCAACTTAACCAGACAATGAACCTAATGCTCAAGAATAAATCCCTAAGATCATACTCTGATATCACCCCTTTTGTGTTGAATACCAGGTTTGTACAAGCTGTTACGAGAGTGTCTAATTCCAATAGCCAGAGAGGCAAGCAATTGTTCAAATGTGCATCCACTTGCCAAACCTTTCAAAATTTTCTTTATATTTTTCTAACACACTGGCCATCTCCCACTAACATAAGGTAACCCAAAAGAAAAAACACTTTCACCATCATTCACTTTATCACTGTCTTGCCAGAGGCATGCCATCAGAAGCTCTTCCAAACTGCAAATATCTCCTCCTCTCCTGCAGAGTGCAGGCATGTACTTCCCACCTCCAGGACTCGAGTACAAACATTTCAGTAGAATTTTAAGACTTATTTTTCGTCAAAACTGAACAAACGCACTGTGTCCACACCACTACATCACACTGTACATAAAACAGTGATGTTCAACAGCTCTTCAATTTACATGAAGAAAGAAGCCTTTCCACATACCTAAAACCTGGAATCATTCTTTTATTACTTACCTATATTTCACCAGTATATAACAGTTTAGATTCAATACTCCTTTCATATTATTACTAAAATTAGAATTCATCTGGTCAGTTCATTACATTATGAGAAAATTATTCATCATTGCAATATTACAGGAGATGAAGTGCAAGATCCTTCTTCCATAAGCCATGAGTGTCGCAAGAAGTGACTAAAATGCTGGGAGCAAGTAACCCACCTTCCTGTAAAATTTATTAAACATAAAAAGAAGAAATTTTCATTTCTTCTTTTTCAGGTCACCCTACCTTGGTGGAAGATGGCCATTGTGTTAAAAAAAAAAAATCTAGACACATACAGTAGAATCCCCCATATGAAAGTTAAGACACAGAATCCCCCATATCCAATGATTCGATATCTACAGTTTCAGTTATCCACAGTTTACTGTGGCCCAAAAATACCTCTTAATTTTTTCATAAAAATGGCTCCAAAGTGCAAAACTAGAGAAGCTGACAGTTCTTCAAAGCCTAAGAGAAGCCATGAAGCGCTTCCCGTAAGTAAAAAAGTGATAATTCTCCACATATTGTGCATAATTTACCAATTAAACTTTATAACAAGTATGTATAGGACCTATATATAGGGTTTGCTACTATCCACAGTTTCGGGATCCACAGCAGATCCTTGGAACTTATCCCCCGCAGATACAGGGGGTCCTACTCAGTGGCAGCTCATCCATCCATAGGAGCTGCAATCTCTCCAGATGCTCACTGCCAGACGTATGACTTCATCAACCTTACGCTAAAATAATTTGCAACTGACAAATATATTACAGAAAAAATCTGTTTTCAATGTATTTATAAGCGAATTTCTTTTTTTGTTGTTTAAACGAGATAACAAATTATTAAAAATAGAAGTTTGATGTTACACAAATAACCTGCACATAAAAGAGAGAAGCTTACAAAGTGTGACTTTGTAAATGGTCCAAGTCGGACCGAAACGTCGTTGTAAGCTTCTCTCTTTTATGTGCGGGTTATTTGTGTATCATTCCAGTCACGGTACTGTGCCTTTTTTTGTTATTTATAGAAGTTTGATGTGGTACGATAGTGTAGATATTACTGGCGCTATGAGCCGCCACTGGTCCTACTGTACTTACTTTCTCATGTTTGACTGCTACAGTACGGCCTTTCCAGGTCACTTCACTCAATGTAGCTGCCTGTCTCTCCCGAGCTGCTACAAGCAGATTCTGTCGAGTAATAAAGAATGCAGATAATGTGCTATCTAAAAATAATAAATTTGTAAATGATATTGCTAACATTTAATTTGTAAATTTGATTTCTTTTCGTAACTAGGCTGATAATGGCCATTAAGTTTTAAAAATATACAAAAATCTCAATACCAAACATCCTAGCCATTTATAAAATACAAAACCAATACAAAGGAACACCTCACAATGCAGTTATGAATCATGAAGCTTACATCAGAGTACCAACAAATCAGTCTCCCAACAAAATAATCAATAATAACAATAATAATAATAATAATATTTTATTTCAGCATGATACAATCTTTGCACAGAGATGGGTGACATTTAGGTGTGTATACAAAAAGCCCATAGTTATACAGAGCATTTCAGGCAATGTTTTTTCAACAAAAAATCACTTACACCTACAAGTAAATGAAAGCAAAAAAGTTATTACTAACATCTAGCTTGTCGCCAAGAGCTTCATTTCCTCGCATGGCTAATAACGTATCCGTGGCAGATCTGTCTCCCAGGTGATGCCGACAAAATCTTAGTTTAACCTCCAGCTCCTGCAGCCGGCCAGCATACACCTCCACTTCATCCTCTGAAACTGCATCTTTTAACTTGCTATAGATTGCTCTGCAAAAAGAAAATGAAATTTCAAGGCTAAGTTTATCTGTATAGAAATAGCATATGCATGTGTGAATGAGTACCTATTTATTCTTACCTATCTTCAGTTGCAATAACAGAGTTAGGCTCTGCCTGAAATGTAGAACAAATTCCACAGTCTTATTTTTTCAAAGTGAAAAAATAAATAAAATCTGCCCCACATAATAAAAAAAATATTATATCGGAAATCTGAGGATACTGTACAGAAATATGATTAAGATATTTAAGATGTTATAATCTTGAATTAAGCATCAGTGGGAGACTGCCAGCATGATTAAATAAATTACAACACAATTAGAGTACTGTACTTTATTTATAAATAGCAACAGTGGTTTCATCATCACTATCTAGAATACTATTGCTTGGCAGAAACACATTCTCATCATGTGACTAAGAATGATACTAAGTGCATTCTCTGTTTTATAAACGGATACATTATTTTGTGATAACAAATTTTACACAAATGTGCTAAAGTGGAATCTAATTTGAACCCATTATAATTTTTCAGTACTCAACATACAGTTTTTTTCCTACCCAATTGTCCACATGGACATACAACATGTCAGTATACATATATACATCACACCCAGTTTAAAGTTTAGGGTGTAATAATAAAAATTTCATAATATCCCATAGGAATTTAAATAGTAAGACTTGTCATATGATCTATGTATGAAATTACTAATTACTTACCATATTACTTTTTTATTAACACACTGGCTGATTCCCACCAAGGCAGGGTGGCCCGAAAAAGAAAAACTTTCACCATCATTCACTCCATCAGTCTTGCCAGAAGGGTGCTTTACACTAGTTTATAAAACTGCAACATTAACACCCCTCCTTCAGAGTGCAGGCACTGTACTTCCCATCTCCAGGACTCAAGTCCGGCCTGCCGGTTTCCCTGAATCCCTTCATAAATGTTACTTTGCTCACACTCCAACAGTACGTCAAGTATTAAAAACCATTTGTCTCCATTCACTCCTATCAAACACGCTCAGGCATGCCTGCTGGAAATCCAATCTTCATCAACATTTAACAATTCCTCAAAATATTCCCTCCATCTTCCCAATACCTCTAACTCTCCATTTAACAACTCTCCTCTCCTATTTTTAACTGACAAATCCATTTGTTCTCTAGGCTTCCTTAACTTGTTAATCTCACTCCAAAACTTTTTCTTATTTTCAACAAAATTTGTTGACAACATCTCACCCACTCTCTCATTTGCTCTCTTTTTACATTGCTTCACCACTCTCTTAACCTCTCTCTTTTTCTCCATATACTCTTTCTTCCTTGCATCACTTCTACTTTGTAAAAACTTCTCATATGCTAACTTTTTCTCCCTTACTACTCTCTTTACACTTACCATGAACCACAAAAATAGCTGCAGGCACATTCATATAAATATTATTGTATGAACAAAAAGTTGATACAATACTTACAAGGCCTTATTGAAGAATTCAACTGGCTTAGCCCACTCGTGAGTCCAGTCAGCCAATTCAAATAATACAGTACCCTGTAGCCAGGCTGAGTATCCTTGCACCTCCAGTTGCGTTCTTGCATCACACACTCCACTCTCCTATCCATAAACCAGAGAGAGGGAGATAAGCAACATGCTACACAAAAACAGTAATAAAACCTTAGGTTATAACCTTTCTCTAAACATAGAAGGCAATTAGAGCAATTCATATTTCAGACAAGTAACTCGCAATTAACTCCCTGACCATTAACAACTTGCTTCACATTAGCCCAGGACAGCCTGAGGCTTCATCTAAAGTTCCATCATCAATTTGTTTTCTATAAATGGTTCCAACCATGGCATTGCGCCATTTAGTCTAAAATTAGAAGAAGTTCATTAAACATTTCTGTAGCTTGTAACAAATAGCATTAGAGTTGCCCAAAGACTGATGTTCCTATTTTGCCCCAAATACTAATATCTTTGAATTCTAACTGAAAGCTAAAGAGGAATATGTTTAAAAATTCTACAATCTCCACTGCCTCCAGCATCCTCCTCACTACAACCTTTAAAACCCATGCTTCACACCCTTTTAAGAGTGTTGATATCACTATACTCAATACATTCAGTTAAAATTTATATACTGTACTTAAAACTTACCTCGACAAGCTTTTCAAAATTTGCAACATATTTTGCAGCATTTCGAAGTTTGTTACGCATTGAAAACTTTTTCCGAGGATCTTGCTGGCTCTCCTCTTTTAACTGCATTGCATACGCCCAATAGCGTTCTATTGTCATAAGAGGAATATAGAGAAACCTGGTGGACATTTAGAAAGCAGCACATTATTATTTACTTATAATCAAATAAAGAATTATAATTAAAACAATTTATCTGCATTTCTCATTAGTCCCAAAATTCATCCAGCTGCAAGAATTTTTTATTTTCACTAATATTAATAATGAGATTATTTAGTGTGACTGGTATATTTACACCAGGATCAACTACTTAGCATTTTCCCGTTTTATTTTTAATGTACCTTAGCTGCTATGCCAGAGCTGAAAAATTAACTATCATATGGTACCAAAAAGTTTACATAAATATCATTGGGAATAGAGCCCTAATCTTCATCTGTATTTTCACAGGGAATGCAAATACAATAATACATAGTTTTGAACTTTTCATAGTGACAAACCATGAACATGCACCACTATTTGCAAGGCTTACCTATCATCCTTAATAACATCTACTGTCACAATCTTCTTGCGAAAGTTTTTTCTATCACCCTGGATAAAATCGAGATTCTTGCGTAAACGACGTATCCGCCTGCTGCAATACTGCCTATACAACTGATAATCACTGTGTCGTAATCCATGAGTAAGTTGAGCTTCTCGCACTGCGCTTAGAACTGCAATGCCAAAAACGTTTATTATTACCAAGTATTTAATCTCTTATTTCAGAAACTGTAGTGTGTATAGTATAAGAATCAAGTTATGGATGAAATTCTATCAGATTATTAGCTCTAAAAATAATGAATATCCAACACATAATTTGGGCAACAAAGCACTCATCATGTTCAATGACCCAATGGCATAATAGCAATTCATTTAGATTTGCTATTGTGCAATATTCTTTCCATTTGTAACTCCGTATACAGTAAATATTGTATAAGATGCAGTATATGGTCACCTTGTGTTACTGGTACAGTTCATAAGTGCAATGAAGATTCTTATTATGGGGAATTGAGTTTAATACATCTGTTAAGGGCCTAGAAATTATATACAGTACAGCATAAAACAAAGAAACATTTGTTTATTAGACACATGTTCTTTAGCTGCAATTAAAGCTCACTGATAAAGCTCAATAAACAAATTAAAAGCTACAGGTGTTTCTCATAATGAACTAACAATAAATTTTCCTATTAGGATAACATAGTATAATAAATAATCAACACATGAATTTTCAAATCATAAAATCATATTTTCAACTTTAGCATGGCCTTGGTCCTAAAATAAAAGACAAAAGTCGTCAATATTATAATAATGTTGGTAGAATTACCAATATGTTAGGTACAAGGACACACATGCAACTAATGCCACAATAAAATGTCACAGTAGTTGGACATATCCTTTTACCTAACAGTCTTCAATACTGCAAGTGACTGTTCGGAATATACACATGTAAATGAGATCTCTAAAAGGACCACAGTGGACTTATTCATATATCATATCATATTTATACATCCATACAGACTATATGCAATATGTATTTTATCAGAGGCAGACCTGTGAAAATAAAACAATGCACATACTATATTCATAAAACACAAAAACACACTGCAATAACAAAGACACACAAAATAGTACAAATTTCTATTATTCACTCTGCTGAAGCATTCTTATTTCAACTAGGAAATGCTAACCCTGTTTGTGTTAGCTATATACAGTGGACCCCCGCATAACGATCACCTCCGAATGCGACCAATTATGTAAGTGTATTTATGTAAGTGCGTTTGTACGTGTATGTTTGGGGGTCTGAAATGGACTAATCTACTTCACAATATTCCTTATGGGAACAAATTCGGTCAGTACTGGCACCTGAACATACTTCTGGAGTGAAAAAATATCGTTAACCGGGGGTCCACTGTACTTCCTTGGGAAAGGGAGATAATCAGACTTGATTCGAGGAAAGGGAAGTTTTTTTTTTTTTTTTTTTTTTTTCAACAAGTCGGCCGTCTCCCACCGAGGCAGGGTGACCCAAAAAAGAAAGAAAATCCCCAAAAAGAAAATACTTTCATCATCATTCAACACTTTCACCACACTCGCACATTATCACTGTTTTTGCAGAGGTGCTCAGAATACAACAGTTTAGAAGCATACACATATAAAGATACACAACATATCCCTCCAAACTGCCAATATCCCAAACCCCTCCTAGGTAATTTACACACGTTACTATGATAATTGTTCTTATGTGTACCTGTACTTAAATACACTTTCTTACTAACATTAATATATAAACTTCCACTCTTTCATGTGTGTCATCTACTTGTCTGCTCGCTGCTTTTTCAAACTTGCCCATAATGGGAGCGGCAAAAGATTATCATCACATTATGAGGGGGGAGGCACTAAACCCATGAGGTCATAATGCCTGAGGGAATCGGAGACAATCGGGTTTGATTTAAGGGAAGGCCAGATCCAATTCCTTGGATCAAACACTCCCTCACTGGTATCAAAGCACCCCTAAGGGAAGAACCAATAATAGAAGCTCCTTATAATTAACAGAAAAGCAAACAAAACTGTAGAGTATCATCCTAAATTGTACTAAACCTAAGTTTTGATTTGCATTATGAGCAGTCGTGTTGAATAGCTAAACCCACAGGGGTTATATAGCATCTACGAAATGAAGCTATTCTGGTTTGACCTAAGAAATGAAAGGATATATGCCAGCAACTCTTAATTTCTTAAATACAGAACCTTCAACAGAATAAAAAAAGCTTTATAATAATGGAGGAGCGCTAAACCTGTAGGGTTATACAGCGCATTCAACAGAATAAAGTCAACCCCTCCAAGTCAACCAGTCTAAACATTTAACTATGTTTATATCAGTACATTGACATTATACATGTAGTTATTATCATAACTATGAGCTAAACCCACAAGGGTCAACATGGATATTAATAAACTGCCAAGATATAACCCAGGATAACCCAACATAGACAAATACTTAAGGCAGGTATAAATGGCCATTAAAATGGAGTCTTCACACAATGGTGGCGATTTCTATTCACTACTTACAAAAAAATTAAAATTTTAATAATCATTTGAGAAAATCATGGAATGTTGTAGTGTTAACGAGGGGCTCTTGATTTAGGGAATTGGATCTGTGCTCCAGTTCCCCGAATTAAGCCTGAATGCCTTCCACACCCCCCCCCCCCAGGCGCTGTATAATCCTCCGGGTTTAGCGCTTCCCCTTGATTATAATAATAATATAGTGTTAATAGTGAGAGCAGCAGCACCAGATGTTTGACGTCTGTCATACCCGCCCTGGTAGAACACCTGACTAAATGCCCCTCACACCGGTACATTCCTGCCCCCCACACCACCACATATATACCCTTCAAGGTGTAGAGAGCCTGGTCTTTGTGTGGGTGATGTTCCCGTTCAGCTGGAGGGATGTCACTCTCTGTCATGATGGTGTGGGTGTCCGCCATCACTCTGCCAACACTGCCGCCATCTCTCGCTCCTTACTATCAACTACTGCCAAATCCTCACACTTGTCTCCTTCACCCGCTAAACTCAAACTTCTGTGGGGATTAAACCATACCACGGGCGGGGTTTGAACCCGCGATCAGATTATTATTATTATAATCAAGGGGGAAGCGCTAAACCCGGAGGATTATACAGCGCCTGGGGGGGAATGTGGAAGGCATTCAGGCTTAATTCGGGGAACTGGAGCACAGATCCAATTCCCTAAATCAAGAGCCCCTCACCAACATCAAGGAACCTTCCTTGAGGAGACCCGCGATTAGAGAGTCTCAAAACTCCAGACCGTCGTGTCATTACGATTTCGTGAGTTCTGTAGGGATTATACACTCCCAGGTCCCTTTAATGCTTATTTTAGGCATTAAAGTACTCTTGGCTGGTGATGAATAGGTGACAGGACCCAAATGGAAATAAGTCACGGTCTGACTTTTTTTGGGTTGTCCTAGGGTTTTTACACATATGCTGCTATATATGATAATCTATATAACTGTATTTGGGTATAGCTGAATAAACTTACTTACTGACAGGCAGTCTTAATGACCCTCGTGAAGTTCTCGCTTCACACGCTGAGTGTCCGGGTTCGATTCCCGGCGAGGGTTGAAATATTGGGCGCGTTTCCTTACATCGGTTGTCTATGTTCACCCATCAATAAAATGGGTACCTGGGAGTTAGTCGACTGGTGTGGGTCGCATCCTGGGACAAAATTGACCTTATTTGCTGGAAATGTTCTGCATAACAAGTGGCTTTCTATATAGTATGTCACTGATGTCAGCTACGACTGTATACCATATTTCCAAAGCTAGTCATAGCATGAACCAGTTCAAGAAGAGAGCCTAAATGTGCCTAATGAACGTAGTGACAGAAAAGGAGGACATTGATTTTTTATCTTTATAGCTAACACACACGTAAATAAAAATAACTCATTTTACCTTAATCCTAGTATATCCCCTTTATAGTATAATTATAAAAAATATCTCCTTTACAGTATAATAATAAGGTATTAAAGGACCCCAAAGGAAATAAGTCACTTTGATTTATGTAACTGTATTTGTGTATACCTGAACAAACTTACTTGGTCCCTATTTTAGGAATTAAGGTTATACTCTTGACCGGTGATGAATAAGTGAGAGGCAGCCTTAATTACCCTCTTACTGATGTGTGTCTCAGGAGAAATACGTGGAACTTTGTTCACCTTAAGCAAGTCAGTAAGTTTATTTAGGTATAGGTCCACATGAATATAATTATTATACATAGTGTGAAAAACAAATCATTAAATATTCACTAATTACATATCCGGTTCGAAGGACCAAAGGCTTAATTTTTTGAAAAAATATTATTGTATTATTAGCAAATCACCTGCAGTAGGCTTACAGGGCATTACCTGAATTATTAAGTGCAAGTAATTTGGTTGAGGTAAGTGAGACTTGAGTCACAGTAAGTCATTGAACTGAAACTCCGCCGACTGCCCACTTCCTCGCTTTTGTGGAAAATACTGTATATATTTTCCAGAAATTCAGTATTTATATGTAAATAGATGGCCATACTGTATTTAATAATATTTATGTCATAAAAAACGGAAAGCCTGCGTCTGCGCAGACGACACTCGCCATCTTGGTTTTGAATTGGATACAACGTTAATGTAATGGGAAGAATTTTTCGTGCTCTAGAGGTTAAAATTGGATTGACACCTCTCAAATAGGAGGCGAAATTGTTGGATGTGCATTCCTGCATAACTTGAGATATCAGACGACTGGACAAGACAGCTCCAGGAACCTCAGATAACCTCTCTAGATTTGTGTATAATTCTGGCCAGTGTTTTCATAAATTTAGTTAGTGAGGTTTTTCTGAGCATGATACAACTTAATATCCAGTCAAATTGGTGAGTGATATTAAGATATATTTTCCTTTTGTTATGTATATGTGAATTTATATATAATCATTTTTTAATATACAGTCCACAAATTTATATATTTACGAGAATTCCTGATGTATAATTCATTTAATTAATAGGTCCAGAGCAACTTGTGGATATGACAGTGGTAGGTATCGAAGGGGGACATTTTTGCGACCTAGGTGTCCCAAATTCCTACTTGTTTAACTGATAAATAATAATTATCTATGTTCATTTACTGTTATGTACATAATTATACATACAGATAAATGCAATTTTCCACAGCTTTCACAAAAAGCTAGACCTGACATTAAATTAATAATTATAATATTAAAACTAGTTACTCTGGTAAAATTACAATTAGGTAGACTGTATAGGATTAGGCTTGCTTGCTGGGTCCACAAAAGTATAATTATTAGTACAATACATATAATCCAATGGTATTATTAGAAAAGAACTTCGTATTACCACTTACCATTCAGTTATTGTAGATGGATCACACCCCAACACCTGCCTAACATCTAGACCCTACACTTGCCATCTAAGTCTAAATGCACTTCCTTGTGAGTTATGTCTGCATATCTTATTTCGCCATCCACACATAATTCTTGAGGTCCTGCAAATTTCTTGTCTCTATTCTTCAGCAGGAGACATTAGCACGGGTTCCTATTACAAATTCAGGCCGAAACACCTCGTTTTGCCCAAAAGTATTCAACTGCCTACCAGCATACATAAGGGGGATTACCAATAGACGTCTGGCTGTCTTCAAGAGGGTGCTGGACTGACACCTAAAGTCAATACTTGACAAACTGAGCTGTAACTCGTACGTAGGTTTACGTGCAGCCAGCAGTAACAGCCTGGTTGATCAGGTCCTGAGCCACCACGAGGCCTGGTCACAGACCAGGCCGCAAGGGCGTTGACCCCTGAAACCCTCTCCAGGTATACTGTAGGTAAAACTAGGGACCTCTATGGGAATAAGGACCCCCACTGGAAATAAGTCACTGATTTTTTTTTTTGGGGGGGGGGTTATTCTATGAAATCTACATATTTATTTATTTATTTATTTATTTATTTATTTATTTATTTGAGCATGATATAGAGAAGTACAAAGGAATACAGTTATTAAAGTGCAACATGCCAAAGCCCCTTGTATGCAGAGCATTATGGGCAGCTTAAAATTAACTTAAGATTAACTAAGCAATGATATATTCAGGGGTAAAAACATTATTGTAAACAGATAACAATTTAGCACAAATGAGTATTACAAAGACAGGTCATATGGTCATTTACTGTGTTGCTGAGCATTCAGTAGAATGGAGTATTCTGTTAGGTAATGTAATTAAAAAATAACAAAGTTTGATTGGGTCATATGCTGATATGTATGATAATTTATGTAACTATATTTATTTGTACCTGTACCTGAATAAACTTACTTAAATAAAACTTTATTTTTTAAAAGGGTGGAGGGGTAAGCCAGTGGAAGGCTTCGGTCAGATGACTTATACAAAAATAACCAAACTTACAAGTATTAAGAAAGGACACCAATGGAAATAAATCACTTTGACTTTTCTGGGTTAACCTAGGCTCTCTACACATATGCTGCTATATATGATAATCCATGTAACTGTATTTGTGTTTACCTGAATAAAATTACTGACTTACTTAGTAGTGTATACCTGAATAAAGTGACTTATCAGGGGTTCGGGCGGTAGTGTGCTGGCGGCTCCTCGCGCTGTTGCAACCCTTAACTCCCAAAACAATATTGACGCTGGTTTTTGCTTCACCAGTTATAAGTAAGTTTATTTAGGTACAGGTGCACGTGTGTACAATTATTATGCATAGTAATATGTGTAAATTACTTAGGGTAACCCCCAAAAGCTTAAGTGACTTGTTTTCATTGGGGTCTTTGGTTTCCATTGGGGTCCTTGGTTTCCATTGGGGGTCTTTGGTTTTCCATTGGGGGTCTTTGGTTTTCCATTGGGGGTCCTTGGTTTTCCATTGGGGGTCCTTGGTTTCCATTGGGGTCCTTGGTTTTCCATTGGGGATCCTTGGTTTCCATTGGGGTCCTTGGTTTTCCATTGGGGTCCTTCCTAGAATTGAACCCAATTGCCTCATATCTCCCAGGAGTTCTATAACCCCGAAAGGTTTAGTGCTTTATAGGATATTTTTATCAGTTTTAGTCCGGTTTTGGAGGAGACATAGTGTTCTGCCCTGGGCACCAGGGCCTTTGTATTTCTATGGGTTTTAAGAACGCTGGGTTTTTTTTTCTTGTTTGCTTACCAAAACTTAAACATCTGATTTTTTCAGCTCTCTGGGTAAAATGAGATAATGCTTCAAGCGTCAAGAAAACCCAACTCTGTAGCAGAACCCCAAAGGAAATCAAAAAGTCCTCGATGATGCACTGACTTTCGTCAGGCCCGGTGACCTGGTGGCTAAAGCTCCCGCTTCACACACGGAGGGCCCGGGTTCGATTCCCGGCGGGTGGAAGCATTTCGACACGTTTCCTTACACCTATTGTCCTGTTCACCTAGCAGCAAATAGGTACCTGGGTGTTAGTCGACTGGTGTGGGTCGCATTCTAGTGGACAAGATTGAGGAGCCCAATGGAAATAAGTTAGACAGTCCTCAATGACACACTGACTTTCTTGGGTTATCCTGGATGGCTAACCCTTTGGGGTTAAAAATCCAAACGAAATCTTATCTTATCTTATCCTGGGTGGCTAACCCTCCGGGTTAAAAAGTCTCAACAAAATCTTATCTTAACTTTGGTTCCAAACTGAAGGCCCCAGGTTTGATCCTGAGGAAAAATGGACATATTGGTCATGTGTCCTTACATCTGCTGCCCTTTTAGGCTAGCAGTATATAAGTACCAAGGTGTTTGTTTCCTGTACTGTGCCAAAACAAAAGCATTCACATTGCTAAACTCACAAACTAGTATTTAGTCACTTAGCCATAATACCAACTTACCTCATAATTTGTAATATTTTAAAATAAAGAATTAAACTAAGTCTGCCCGAAATGCCTAGCCATGCTAGGCGTTCTAGTGGTACACTCTGTAATCATTATTATTTAACTACATGTAAACCACACAACAACCAAATTCTGTAAATTCAACATTGTAATCTTTATAGAGAATAAACTTTGAATTTGAATTTGAATTTGGATCAGGTGGCAGCACCATCAGCTTACAACTGAAGGTCCTGGGCTCAAACCCGGGATTGAAAACGGACGTAGTATTTTCTTACACCAGTTGACTTAGTAGTAAGTAGGTGCCTGGGTGTTAATCACCATACACCTGCTGTCCCTGTTCACCTAGCAGTAAGTTGGTACCTGTTTTGGGTCATTCTGGGTACAAGAATCATGAAGCCCCAAGTGTAAATAAGGGACACAGTTGACTTTCCTGGTTTGTCCTTGGTTACTAATTCTTCAGCTGAATAATTCAAATAAATTCTTTACATTGTACTAGCCCCTTCCAGTCAAACATCCACAAACAATTTTTTTAGTGTATGTATTTAAAAATGCCATATTCTGTACTGTGTAATTCTCAGGTTGTTGTATTAGAATTGCTGTATACCTTATTGTATAATGATTTTTTATAACTGTTGATGTAAATATTTTAAATTATGGTCTATTTCTACTGCCATTTAAAATCTTAGTAATACCAATCATCCAAGGCACTTTCAACAAAATAAACTTCACATAGTAGTTAGAGGGCACAGTATCCCACTAAGTAATGAGGATTTTTTTTTTTTTAACAAGTTGGCCGTCTCCCACCGCTGCAGGGTGACCCAAAAAGAAAGAAAATCCCCAAAAAGAAAATACTTTGATCATTCAACACTTTCACCTCACTCTTACATAATCACTGTTTTTGCAGAGGTGCTCAGAACACAACAGTTTAGAAGCATATACGTACTATAAAGATACACAACATATTCCTCCAAACTGCCAATATCCCAAACCCCTCCTTTAAAGTGCAGGCATTGTACTTCCCATTTCCAGTACTCAAGTCCGGCTATATAAAAATAACCAGTTTCCCTAAATCCCTTCACTAAATATTACCCTGCTCACACTCCAACAGATCGTCAGGTCCCAAGTACCATTCATCCCCATTCACTCCTATCTAACACGCTCACGCACGCTTGCTGGAAGTCCAAGCCCCTCGCCCACAAAACCTCCTTTACCCCCTCCCTCCAACCTTTTTGAGGACGACCCCTACCCCGCCTTCCTTCCCCTACAGATTTATATGCTTTCCATGTCATTCTGCTTTGATCCATTCTCTCTAAATGACCAAACCACCTCAACAACCCCTCTTCAGCCCTCTGACTAATACTTTTATTAACTCCACACCTTCTCCTAATTTCCACACTCCGAATTTTCTGCATAATATTCACACCACACATTGCCCTTAGACAGGACATCTCCACTGCCTCCAACCGCCTCCTCACTGCAGCATTTACAACCCAAGCTTCACACCCATATAAAAGTGTTGGTACCACTTTACTTTCATACATTCCCTTCTTTGCCTCCATAGATATTGTTTTTTGTGTCCTACATGTACCTCAATGCACCACTCGCCTCTTTTCCTTCATCAGTTCTATGGTTAACCTCATCCTTCATACATCCATCCGCTGACATGTCAACTCCCAAATATCTGAAAACATTCACTTCTTCCATACACCTCTCCAATTTGATATCCAAGTTTTCTTTATCTAAATCATTTGATACCCTCATCACCTTACTTTTTTCTGTGTTCACTTTCAACTTTCTACCCTTACACACTGTAACTTTTTTGCTTTTTGAAATTTTGAAATTTATTCTTGAATTATGTTTTAGGCTGTATAAGTATATAGACAGTTTCTACCCTTAAGAATTTCTTTTCAGTTTTAAAAGATAACCACAGCACTTATTCATCAAACAACCATATTCACAAAATCTAAGCATATGATCTAAATACACATTACAAAGAAATAATGATGTATGTGGTGAATCTTGGAAGCCTTGTTTTCTTATTTTCCTAGTATTTTTGGCTTGGTTTGCAAGTTTTTGAAAATCCAGAGTTTGTGGTGCCCTGCTGTACATTGTGTGACAGTAATAAGCCATGTTATCATTATTGCTTCTAATTTTTTTTATTAATATTAGGCTTAATTGCTCTTTAATAATTAATAATTTTAAATTGTTTATTTCAAGGTAAACAAGGTATCAGAGCATAAAGGATGGCATCAAAGTTACCAGTTGCATCTGGATTATATAAGTATGCAAGGATAACAGCAAACACGACCAATTATGCCAAGAGAATGAACCGCCTCAGCAATCACATCTTTGGGGAGGTTGTTAGAACAACTGACTCTCCGTAAGTGCTTTTTGCAGGACCTTGTGCGAGTTTTGGTGTCATCCATTTTATTGGTAAAGCCTTGAATTTCCCATGTGTCAAAGTTGTCCCCCCCCCCCCCCCCCCCCCCCCAAAAAAAAAAAAAGTCTTATGTTACTGAGGCTTTTACCTTCAATGCATCATTTAATACTTTCTTACCAACTACATATTTATTTCCAAAATTTGCTTTGCTTATACATAATCTATTTTAGTATCATTATTTTCATAAGAAAAACACTCAGTAAGGATCATACAGTGCTACTTTTGTTTTTAATAATGTCTGTTCAAGTTGCTTAGTGTTGCTGTTTTGTAGTTGGGTTCAATTTTTTTTAGTGCCTTTGCATGTGTTAAAATGTTTGTCAGTGGGTAATATTAATTTAAGCATGACTGTGAATTTAGAGCAATAAAAAATTAGTAGAAAATACAGAATTGTGTTTCAAGAGATGACAGACTATAAGAATATTTGTAAAATCTTGTTTAAGCTATTTTCCATTGTGAGTAGATGATTTTTTTTTTTTTTTTTTTTTTTTTCCTCAACAAGTCGGCCGTCTCCCACCGAGGCAGGGTGACCCAAAAAAGAAAGAAAATCCCCAAAAAGAAAATACTTTCATCATCATTCAACACTTTCACCACACTCACACATTATCACTGCTTTTGCAGAGGTGCTCAGAATATAACAGTTTAGAAGCATATACGTATAAAGATACACAACATATCCCTCCAAACCGCCAATATCCCAAACCCCTCCTTTAAAGTGCAGGCATTGTACTTCCCATTTCCAGGACTCAAGTCCGACTATATGAACATAACCGGTTTCCCTGAATCCCTTCACTAAATATTACCCTGCTCACACTCCAACAGATCGTCAGGTCCCAAGTATCATTCGCCTCCATTCACTCCTATCTAACACGCTCATGCACGCTTGCTGGAAACCCAAGCCCCTAGCCCACAAAACCTCCTTTACCCCCTCTTTCCAACCCTTTCGAGGACGACCCCTACCCCTCCTTCCTTCCCCTATAGATTTACAGTATACTCAGTAAACTTATTCCTCTATAATTTTTACAATCTCTTTTGTCCCCTTTCCCTTTATATAAAGGGACTATACATGCTCTCCGCCAATCCCTAGGTACCTTCCCCTCTTTCATACATTTATTAAACAAAAGTACCAACCACTCCAACACTATATCCCCCCCTGCTTTTATTAACATTTCTGTCATGATCCCATCAGTTCCAGCTGCTTTACCCCCTTTCATTCTACGTAATGCCTCACATACCTCCACCACACTTACATTCTGCTCTTCTTCACTCCTAAAAGATGGTATACCTCCCTGGCCAGTGCATGAAATTACCGCCTCCCTTTCTTCCTCAACATTTAAAAGTTCCTCAAAATATTCTCTCCATCTACCTAATACCTCCCTCTCCCCATCTACTAACTCCCCTACTCTGTTTTTAACTGACAAATCCATACTTTCCCTAGGCTTTCTTAACTTGTTTAACTCGCTCCAAAATTTTTTCTTATTTTCATTAAAATTTCTTGACAGTGCCTCTCCCACTCTTTCATCTGCTCTCCTTTTGCACTCTCTCACCACTCTCTTCACCTTTCTTTTACTCTCCATATACTCGGCTCTTCTTATAAACACTTCTGCTTTGTAAAAACCTCTCGTAAGCTACCTTTTTCTCTTTTATCACACCCTTTACTTCATCATTCCACCAATCACTCCTCTTTCCTCCTGCCCCCACCCTCCTATAACCACAAACTTCTGCCCCACATTCTAATACTGCATTTTTAAAACTATTCCAACCCTCTTCATCCCCCCCACTACTCATCTTTGCACTAGCCCACCTTTCTGCCAATAGTCGCTTATATCTCGCCCGAACTTCCTCCTCCCTTAGTTTATACACTTTCACCTCCCTCTTACTTGTTGTTGCCACCTTCCTCTTTTCCCATCTACCTCTTACTCTAACTGTAGCTACAACTAAATAATGATCCGATATATCAGTTGCCCCTCTATAAACATGTACATCCTGGAGCCTACCCATCAACCTTTTATCCACCAATACATAATCTAACAAACTACTTTCATTACGTGCTACATCATACCTTGTATATTTATTTATCTTCTTTTTCATAAAATATGTATTACTTATTACCAAATTTCTTTCTACACATAGCTCAATTAAAGGCTCCCCATTTACATTCACCCCTGGCATCCCAAATTTACCTACTACTCCCTCTATAACATTTTTACCCACTTTAGCATTGAAATCCCCAACCACCATTACTCTCACACTTGATTCAAAACTCCCCACGCATTCACTCAACATTTAACTTTGAATATAAGCAAATGGCTGCTTTCTTCATGTTCGCTTTTCTTGAGGTAAAAATAGCTAAATAATATTATGGCTTAACTTTTATGACATTTTAAAGCTCTATAATAAATATTTTTTCTAGGTCAATGCGTGTAGTAAAAATATTCAGTGAGAAACCCCTAGACCTACGACCTGAAATCACAGACTACTATCCTCGTCATAATGAAACTCATCTTTTAATGTCTCTTCTTAGAAAGGTATGTTATGCAAATTTTAAATGAATGAATACAGGTATCCCCTGTTATTTGCTGTAGATATGTTCCAGGCTCTTGGCATCTATATTATGCTCAATCAGGCCATAAACAAAAATTAGAAGGCAGTGTGGAGGTATGAAGATGTAATTCAGATGTAGAAGAGGTGTTGCAATAGTTTGATAGTTTATAGGATAAAAGAGAACATGTAAAGTATAAGACTGTATAAATCCTGGCTGTAAATAGCATGGGTAGAGGCTGTCTCAGGTAGAGCTGAAGGGAGTAAAGGAGGTTTTGACTGGTAGTGGCTTGAGCATTCAGCAGTCATATTTGAGCATATTAGATTGAAGCAAGTGGTGGTTAGTGGTTTTTGGGATTTGATTTGCTATTGGAGTGTGAGCAAGGTATTCACTAAAAAGATTAGCTAGAAGCGAGTACTTGGGGCGAGAAGTACTGCTTATAAATTTACTAGTAGATTTAATAGTTCAAAAATTTATTTTCAGTATGGACTGTATCGAGATGAACACCAAGACTTCAAGGAAGAGATAAGAAGACTAAGAATTCTGCGTGGAAAAGCTAAACCAAAGAAAGGAGAAGGCAAAAGAACAAATAAGTAAAGCCAAATACCATAAAATGTTTAAAAAAGCAGATGGAATTTTGTTAACAAACATGTAAATAAAGCATCAACCTTTTGTTTCTTTTACTCTACCAAAGGTTTGACCATATTTACAAAAAGTAACAGTTGTAGCATTCTACACTTTATGCATGACTTGCGTATGGTAATAGAAACGAACTCTTCAATGGGAGCTCTTTGATGGTGTGTCGAGTTCTAGCAGTGCTGAACCCTTCAACACACCAAGAGCTAAACCCTGTGGGTTTAGCACTTGATTTTAATTATAATAATAATGAAGGGTTCTAGGTAAAAATAAGTCAAGCTACTGTTCGTAGTACAGTACACCAAAATATCTAAAAATAACTGCATATGCCCATCAGATGTTTAATTTTCGGTGAGCAGCAAGTACAGAACAGTTAAGAAAATATTGAAGAATGACGACTACACGCACAATATTTATTTTTATTGACATATCGGCTGTTTCCCACCAAGGTAGGGTGGTCCGAAAAAGAAAATCTTTCATCATCATTCAGTCTATCACTGTCTTGCCAGAGGCGAGCTTACACTACAGGTGTAAAACTGCAACATTAACACTCCTCCTTCAGAGTGCAAGCAGTGTAAACAATTTTTTTTTTTTCCTTTTAACAAGTCGGCTGTCTCCCACCGAGGCTAAACCAACATATCCCTTTTCTTATTTGTAACGATCCATCATAGTATTATCTTTAAACACAGCAAACCCCTTCGGATTATTAGACCTAGAGGGCTGTTAACTCAGGATAGCCCAAGGAGTCTAATCAATATAGCTCATTTCTACTGAGCACATTTGGTTCTCTTTCCCAGGATGATACCCACAACTGCTCTCTTCCAGGTACTTCACTGCTAGGTGAGCAGGGGCAGTAAGTGTAAGAAGACTTGTACTTAAATCGATTTGCCCAGAATTGAACCTAGATATTTTGGTTGTGAGCCGATGTACTACCACTGAGCTAAGAGTACACTACAGAAACACTAAAAGCTTGTCAGGTAAATTTAACCTACAAACATGTACTGGTATTTATTAATTTTTCCACTCTCAAACATTGTAAAATCCTTGACCCTCAAGGGAGGTTCCTTGACACTGGTGAAGAACTCTTGATCTAGAGAATTGGATCTGTGCTCCAGTTTCCTGAATTTAGCCTGAATACCCCCCATATCCCCTCCCCCACAGGCACTGTATAATCTTACAGGTTGAGTGCTTCCCCATTATAATAATAATGTAAAATCCTTGCAAAACAAAGTTTTTTACTAATAATAGAAACCTTGACAGTGATCTTTAATTTGGCATTTTCAAAGGTTTTACATATGCCAATGTTAACTATTATGATAATTATTATTATAATCATGGGGGAGCACTAAACCCATAGGATTATACAGTACTATTATGATAAAATTAATGGGGAAGCACTAAACCCATAGGGGTTACATAGTGCCTGGAGAATGAGAGGTAATCAGGTTCTATCCAAGGAAGAGGAGAAAAGCTCCAATTCCTTGGATCAAGAGGCTGTTACCAGCATCAAGGCACTCCTATTCAAGGGTGTGATCTACAAATCAGCTTATTTCCATTATAAAACTATGGTAACTCATGTATTTTTCTTGTACACATAGGAAACTTAATTAGCTTTATGCTCAGCAAATGAAAATATGTACCATAAAAATACCATAATCCTGACTTAATTGTGAGTTTACCTTCAGGAAACAACATTTTCAACACCACTCAGTGCTGCTGTTATACCATATACATACTGAGGAAGATGTACAACTGCTTGTGTGGGATGAATTGATTATTATTACTATTGAAAGCATTAAACCTGAAAGGGTTTAATGCACCTCTTATCCTCTATAGGCAAACTGTAGAGAATAATAGGTGCAGCAGATGACTACATTAGTCGAGAGTCTTATGTGACTAATAAGCTAATTTATCACTTCCCATGATTGACAGTGATTTATGGGCTACCTGTTTTTTTGTGGCTGGTTTCCAGGACCTCTACCCCAGGAGCCCCATTTGAAGCCACCTTCTCTGTTGATTGCCTGGTCAACCAGGCTGTGTCAATACCAGCATAATTTACCTACGACCTGTCGTGAGAGTTCTCCTACTTCCGCAGCCTGGCCCTGGGCCAAGCCTCCAGTGGATTCCTTCTCTGTATATTCCACAGGTTTTTGCCTTGTGTGAGACTTCTTAAAGTATTTAACAGTTTTTGCAATTTTAAAGCCATATTTCCCCTGTTATGAAATATTACAGATAATTTAACACTTCTCAGCTCTATGTTTAATTCTTATGGAGGTTTATACTGAAATGAAAACCTATCATTGCTTACAGAACATGCCTTTAATACTAACAATTGTTGCAAACTAGTGTTTACATAAAAAGTCTCTTTGCATTAGGTGGTATGGATATAACTGTTTTTCTATATTTATTAATGCTGTTGTTCAATAATTTAACTTTTTTTTATATTTTGTAGCAGAAGTAGGCTTGACAAGGATTGTGCTGGCCTATGTGACAGGCTGTGGATGCCAGATCGTAGGTCAAATGGATTGATTTGACTTGCAAGAAGTTTGTGACCTCTTGAGTGCGATGCCTTCTGCCCCGACTATTTTTTTTTTAAGCCTTAGATATGGGTGGTTGCAGCGAGCATTCCCTTGTAATTTATGTTAAAATTTTGTTTTCTACACTTCGCCAATTTGGTTTAGTTTGATTTTTATACTGATAATGCCAATTTTACAGTGGCTTTATTTCATCTTGTATTATCAATTCTAATTTTCAACACAGACACAATGCCTTGTACAGCAACACCTTTGAGAGTAATGACAATGAGTTTGAGAGCTGAAAGTTAAATTGGAAGTATCAATATGCTTTATAATTTTTCCACTGCAGGTGTACACAAAATCCTTGCAGATTATTTCACAAATGATGGTGCAACTATTCACAATATTACTGTCACTTTTCATAGCTGTATGACTTCAATGTCCAATGCTCTGAAATCACAGAGCACATACGTGTCTACCACTCGCATCTCTTCTCTACAGAAAGAAAGACCAGAAACTCAATTTTGCTTTCGTGGAAAACATCTTATTAACCGGTAATACACATCAATGACACTGTCAAGCACTGTGCTTCTACCAGAAAATTATCAGAATATGGCAACCATAAATTCATTGCCCTAAACTTCAACCTGGCCAGGAACATAGCAGAAGACAACCATTTTGTGTTTGCTGTCACATAATCAGGAATGAATGCAAGGATGAATTGTTTGCTATCCATTTTGTGAGTCTGAAATTACAACAGAAGCCAAGACAAACATTGTAGCAACATGGATGACAACAGTTGTAGTCACCCTTGGATCAGACAATCAGAAAAAATAAAAAAGGATTCCACCCTTTTGGAAGTTTTCTAATCAAGGGAATACAGAGTAGTAGCATTAACCAAACTGGAAATGATCAAGGAGGAGAAAGCATGAATGGGAAATGTGCAGACTTTTTACCATGGAGTCTTCCCAAGGTGGGAGAAAAAAGTAAAGAGGCAGTAAACCAGAAAGATGAGGCATACGAAGTATTCCAAAAGACTCCGTAAGCATAAACTGAAGGAACTCACTACAAATAAAACTTTATAAACTTGATGTCAAACCATGGTACAATTGGGGTTAGAGCCCATGGCAAGTGAGTTGTAAAACTCCAGGCCAGTGCATTTAACTGATGTGGAATTTATGTATGCCAAAAGCAAGGAAGGAAGCTGATTAAATAAGCACAGTAACTAGTTCCATTTACTTTATACACTGACATCGTATTTATTCAGACAATCAGATTACCATGAATTAATGAATGGCAAACAGACGTCTGCAATAAAATTACATAAAATGAACAATGAAGGGACTTATTTTCAGCATTATGCACAAGCACTGCCTAAAATTAACAAAAAAAAAAATTTATCAGCATATGCAATTTAGAGATAAAAATATTTAAAATGACTGCATTCAACACTGCACAAGACTATACAGTTTCTCCATATATAATACACTATGTTTAGAACATTGTACAGTCACTGCACAAGACTATATAGTTTATCCACATATAATATACTATCTCTAGAACCATGTACAATACTAAAAACAATTGTAAAATAATTGCACGAACTGTACATTATTATAACATCCTTGAGATGAACAAATGCTAAAAATTATCTGGAGTTTCCTGCATTATTCAGCTGTGATGGGAATTGAAAAAAATTATGTTAGCTAAAAGTCTAAGTGATTACTAGAAATCCTACCATGAGAACCACTGGCTTAGGCAAAGGATCAGCTGGGAGTGAGTGTTGCGGCTGTCTGGAGTCCTGCTCTGACTATGTAAACTTAAATACGCTATCATATATATATATACTGTAATACCTTCTCCATCCACCAGTACATTCTACGAGACCCTTGACTAATTCCTAGATCACTTGAGTACTTGATTATATAACATATTCCCAATGTGTGGCTGCTGGTCCTGAATGCAGTTTCTTAAGTCAGGACTAAGAATCACGTTGTTCTCTCTGGGTAATAAAATTTCTTGACCTCTTTTATGGCTTCACACCATTTTAGAGCATAACCCTCTGGTTCCTCCAGATAATATGTTCGGTTAGGCTGTAAGAGAAAAAAAGTATAATTATTATTTTATTCTCAGCTATTTAAATATTTATTAATTATAGTAAACCCTCAATTTAACGGATTTCAAAAATATGGGACAAAATCCACCGGATCAACTAAATCACAGCACAACAATCTAATCTGTAGCCACTACAATCATTATTACTGGCTACCTCCTCTCTCCTGTTAGTCCGTTAAACTGAGAGTTTACGTTAAGTCAATTCATTTAAACTTGACGTGCTGTTGGAGTGTGAACAAAGTAATATTTATGAAGGAACTCAGGGAAACCGGCAGGCCGGACTTGAGTCCTGGAGATGGGAAGTACAGTGCCTGCACTCTGAAGGAGAGGTGTTAATGTTGCAGTTTAAACTGTAGTGTAAAGCACCCTTTTGGCAAGATAGTGATGGAGTGAATGATGATGAAAATTTTTCTTTTTCGGGACACCCTGCCTTGGTGGGAATTGGCCGATGTGTTAATAAACTATAAAACAGAAACAAAAATAAACCTATTAACACTGAGTGGGTCATCTTATGACACAGACCTGTGACATGTGATTTCCCACGACGAATGCAGTAATAAGAATCTTACACAACACAAATAATCTGCACATTTTTTCATTTAAAAATTTATCATTTAGAGTATTTTAAATAACTGGTCACTGAGTTGAAATTTATGTAACTTTTTTTTTACCCACCAGTCATCTTCTAGAGGTAGGGTAACCCAAAATAAAAGAGGAAATCTCTTCACCATTATTCATTCAATCCATCTTGCCAGCACAGTTCAAATGACCCTCCAAGAGCAACATCCTCACCCCTCCATGTAGACACTGTAACCCCTACCTCAGAACCTAAGTAACCAGCTAACCAGGGAGGTACTACCATCCTGCCAGGTGAATGTAAAACAAAAGCCTGTAATTGTTTTACATGATGGTAGGATTACTGGTGCTTTTTTTTTTGACTGTTTCATAAATATGCAAGATTACAGGTATGTCTTGCTACTTCTACTTACACTTATGTCACACTACACATACATGTACACGTTTGTTTATACACACTCATCTGAGTTTTCTTTGATTTTATCTTCATAGTTCTTGGTCTTATTACTTTTCCTTTTATATCCATGGGGAAGTGGAATAAGAATCTTTCCTCTGTAAGCCATGCGTGTTGTAAAAGTCAACTAAAATGCTGTAAAGATTACTAAAAAGAATAAGAAGAAAATTGTCAAAGTGGGAAGTCGGAATGTGCGTGGATGTTGTGCAAATGATAAGAAAGAGAAGATTGTGGATGTTATGAATGAGAAGAAGCTGGATGTCCTGGCTTTAAGTGAAACAAAGCTGAAGGGGGTGGGAGAGTTTCAGTGGAGAGGAATAAATGGGATTAGGTCAGGGGTTTCAAATAGAGTTAGAGCTAAAGAAGGAGTAGCAATAATGTTGAAGGATAAGATTTTTTTATTTATTTATTATCACACTGGCCGATTCCCACCAAGGCAGGGTGACCCGAAAAAGAAAAACTTTCACCATCATTCACTCCATCACTGTCTTGCCAGAAGGGTGCTTTACACTACAGTTTAAACTGCAACATTAACACCCCTCCTTCAGAGTGCAGGCGCTGTACTTCCCATCTCCAGGACTCAAGTCCGGCCTGCCGGTTTCCCTGAACCCCTTCATAAATGTAACTTTGCTCACACTCCAACAGCACGTCAAGTATTAAAAACCATTTGTCTCCATTCACTCCTATCAAACATGCTCATGCACGCCTGCTGGAAGTCCAAGCCCCTCGCACACAAAACCTCCTTTACCCCCTCCCTCCAACCTTTCCTAGGCTGACCCCTACCCCGCCTTCCTTCCACTACAGACTGATACACTCTTGAAGTCACTCTGTTTCGCTCCATTCTCTCTACATGTCCGAACCACCTCAACAACCCTTCCTCAGCCCTCTGGACAACAGTTTTGGTAATCCCGCACCTCCTCCTAACTTCCAAACTACGAATTCTCTGCATTATATTCACACCACACATTGCCCTCAGACATGACATCTCCACTGCCTCCAGCCTTCTCCTCGCTGCAACATTCATCACCCATGCTTCACACCCATATAAGAGCATTGGTAAAACTATACTCTCATACATTCCCCTCTTTCCCTCCAAGGACAAAGTTCTTTGTCTCCACAGACTCCTAAGATATGGCAGGAAAAGAGGGACTATAAATGTATTAATTCAAGGATTATGTGGAGTAAAATAAAGGTTGGATGTGAAAAGTGGGTTACAGTAAGTGTATATGCACCTGGAGAAGACAGAAGTGTAGAGGAGAGAGAGAGATTTTGGGAAATGTTGAGTGAATGCGTGGGGAGTTTTGAACCAAGTGTGAGAGTATACTTGTGGTTGGGGATTTCAATGCTAAAGTGGGTAAAAATGTTGTGGAGGGAGTAGTAGGTAAATTTGGGGTGCCAGGGGTAAATGTAAATGGGGAGCCTTTAATTGAGCTATGTGTAGAAAGAGATTTGGTAATAAGTAATACATATTTTATGAAAAAGAGGATAAATAAATATACAGTGGACCCCCGGTTAACGAACTTTTTTCATTCCAGTAGTACGTTCAGGTGCCAGTACTGACCGAATTTTTTCCCATAAGGAATATTGTGAAGTAGATTAGTCCATTTCAGACCCCCAAACATACACGTACAAACGCACTTACATAATTGGTCGCATTTGGAGGTGATCGTTAAGCGGGGGTCCACTGTACAAGGTACAATGTAGCAGTTTGAAAGTAGTTTGTTAGATTATGTATTGGTGGATAAAAGGTTAATGGGCAGGCTCCAGGATGTACATGTTTATAGAGAGGCAACTGATATATCGGACCATTATTTAGTTATAGCTACAGTTAGAGTAAGAGGTAGATGGGACAAGAGGAAGGTAGCAACAACAAGTAGGAGGGAAGTGAAAGTGTATAAACTAAGGGAGGAGGAAGTTCGGGTGAGATATAAGCGACTATTGGCAGAAAGGTGGGCTAGTGCAAAGATGAGTAGTGGGGGGTTGAAGAGGGTTGGACGAGTTTTAAAAATGCAGTATTAGAATGTGGGGCAGAAGTTTGTGGTTATAGGAGGGTGGGGGCAGGAGGAAAGAGGAGTGATTGGTGGAATGATGAAGTAAAGAGTGTGATAAAAGAGAAAAAGTTAGCTTATGAGAGGTTTTTACATAGCAGAAGTGTTATAAGAAGAGCAGAGTATATGGAGAGTAAAAGAAAGGTGAAGAGAGTGGTGAGAGACTGCAAAAGGAGAGCAGATGATAGAGTGGGAGAGGCACTGTCAAGAAATTTTAATGAAAAGAAAAAATTTTGGAGTGAGTTAAACAAGTTAAGAAAGCCTAGGGAACGTATGGATTTGTCAGTTAAAAACAGAGTAGGGGAGTTAGTAGATGGGGAGAGGGAGGTATTAGGTAGATGGTGAGAATATTTTGAGGAACTTCTAAATGTTGCGGAAGAAAGGAAGGCGGTAATTTCAAGCACTGGCCAGGGAGGTATATCATCTTTTAGGAGTGAAGAAGAGCAGAATGTAAGTGTGGGGGAGGTACGTGAGGCATGACGGAGAATGAAAGGGGGTAAAGCAGCTGAACTGATGGGATCATGATAGAAATGTTAAAAGCAGGGGGGGATATAGTGTTGGAGTGGTTGTTACTTTTGTTTAATAAATGTATGAAAGAGGGGAAGGTACCTAGGGACTGGCGGAGAGCATGTATAGTCCCTTTACATAAAGGGAAGGGGGACAAAAGAGATTGTAAAAATTATAGAGGAATAAGTTTATTGAGTATACCAGGAAAAGTGTACGGTAGCATTATTATTGAAAGAATTAGAGGCAAGACAGAAAGTAGGATTGCGGATGAGCAAGGAGGTTTCAGAGTGGGTAGGGGATGTGTAGATCAAGTGTTTACATTGAAGCATATATGTGAACAGTATTTAGATAAAGGTAGGGAAGTTTTTATTGCATTTATGGATTTAGAAAAGGCATATGATAGAGTGGATAGGGGAGCAATGTGGCAGATGTTGCAAGTATATGGAATAGGTGGTAAGTTACTAAATGCTGTAAAGAGTTTTTATAAGGATAGTGAGGCTCAGGTTAGGGTGTGTAGAAGAGAGGGAGATTACTTCCCGGTAACAGTAGGTCTTAGACAGGGATGTGTAATGTCACCATGGTTGTTTAATATATTTATAGATGGGGTCATAAAAGAAGTATGCTAGGGTGTTTGGGAGAGGGGAGGGGTTAAATTATGGGGAATCAAATACAAAATGGGAATTGACACAGTTACTTTTTGCTGATGATACTGTGCTTATGGGAGATTCTAAAGAAAAATTGCAAAGGTTAGTGGATGAGTTTGGGAGTGCGTGTAAAGGTAGAAAATTGAAAGTGAACATAGAAAAGAGTAAGGTGATGAGGGTATCAAATGATTTAGATAAAGAAAAATTGGATATCAAATTGGGGAGGAAGAGTATGGAAGAAGTTAATATTTTCAGATACTTGGGAGTTGACGTGTCAGTGGATGGATTTATGAAGGATGAGGTTAATCATAGAATTGATGAAGGAAAAAAGGTGAGTGGTGCGTTGAGGTATATGTGGAGTCAAAAAACGTTATCTATGGAGGCAAAGAAGGGAATGTATGAAAGTATAGTAGTACCAACACTCTTATATGGGTGTGAAGCTTGGGTTGTGAATGCAGCAGCGAGGAGGCGGTTGGAGGCAGTGGAGATGTCCTGTCTAAGGGCAATGTGTGGTGTAAATATTATGCAGAAAATTCGGAGTGTGGAAATTAGGAGAAGATGTGGAGTTAATAAAAGTATTAGTCAGAGGGCTGAAGAGGGGTTGTTGAGGTGGTTTGGTCATTTAGAGAGAATGGATCAAAGTAGAATGACATGGAGAGCATTTAAATCTATAGGATAAAGAAGGCGGGGTAGGAGTCGTCCTCGAAAAGGTTGGAAGGAAGGGGTAAGGGAAGTTTTGTGGGCGAGGGGCTTGGACTTCCAGCAGGCGTGCACGAGCGTGTTCGATAGGAGTGAATGGAGACGGATGGTATTTGGGACATGACGATCTGTTGGAGTGTGAGCAGGGTAATATTTAGTGAAGGGATTCAGGGAAACGGGTTATTTTTATATAGCCGGACTTGAGTCCTGGAAATGGGAAGTACAATGCCTGCACTCTAAAGGAGGGGTTTTGGGATATTAGCAGTTTGGAGGGATATGTTGTGTATGTTTATATGTATATGCTTCTAAACTGTTGTGTTCTGAGCACCTCTGCAAAAATAGTGATTATATGTGAGTGAGGTGAAAGTGTTGAATGATGATGAAAGTATTTTCTTTTTGGGGATTTTTTTTTTCTTTTTGGGTCACCCTGCCTCGGTGGGAGACGGTTGACTTGTTGAGAGAGAAAAAAAAAAAACCAGTTGTAATTACTGTATGGACGAAAAATGTCTTAAAGTTCTTAGCTTCAGGCCAGATGGAGGGACACCAAGGAATCTGACCCTTCAGTACCATGTTCACAGGGTCAGCATAATAAAGGTGTGGCCCAGTTGTCAGAAGAAACATCCGTCTCCTTGGAAACAGACCCTGAAAGCAAACATAACTGATAAAAAAAGACAGATGGATTCATTACATTGCATAGAAGTGCTAAACCCATCAAGGTAATAGTGTCTGAGGAACAGGGGGCAAATTTGATCCAAGGTGGTGGAAGATAACTTCAATTCCCTTGATCAAGAGCCCTTCACTAGCACCAAGGCACATACCTCCCCTCAAGGGACTGACTGATACAAGGTTATAAAGAAGATCCAATCCAACAGAAATTATTGGTTAGGTACAACATTAATACTTATGTTGTTTTACGGAAAATGTGACTGAAGAAAGTTATTACATATTTATAAAATAAAAGTATAAGCCCCAATTTATGATAACCAAGAAACTTTTGAAGATAATAAACTGTAATACAAGTCAAGCAAGGTAGCCACTTCATAGACAAGGATATGAGATCCAATTTTAATAATCAAAATAATGTCTGAAAATTGGTGCTCTAATTAAAAAAGCTGTGTAGAAAATCTTTCAAACAATTCTCTTCATGTATAAGAAACAAAGAGGCATGGTGACCCAAAAAAGAAGAAAGTTTTCGTTTTTTTTTTCAACAAACCGGTAATATCCCACGAGGACAGGGTGACCTAAAAAGAAAAACCAAAGTTTTTCTTTTTTTGGGTTACTAGCCCCCTGTTCCCAGCATTATAGTTGCCTCTTGTGCAAGAAAGGTATAAAATACCGACAATATGAAAGTTTAGACACATGTGCAACATCTGGATATCTTTATTGTAGATGTTTCGCCATCCAGTGGCTTTATCAATACAGATTCTAGGACATAATTAGAAGACAGCAGTCCTATATACAAAAGATGAGGTGATCAGTCCCTCAGCCTTGGAGATAGTGTTCACAGCATCGTGGTGAAGGAGAATCTCCTCCACTGGATGGCGAAACGTCTACAATAAAGATATCCAGATGTTGCACGTGTCCAAACTTTCAGTTGCCTCTTGCATCATGCATGGCTTACAGAGGAAGGATTCTTCTCCACTTTCCCATGGAGTTAAGAAAATTATTAAAATATTCCTTAATTTGAACCATTATACTAGAATCCTGTATTATACAATATACAATATTTGTTGCTTACCATTCTTGACAATGAAACATCCATAAACCTTGCAATATATCAATATACTTGCACAATTAAATTTGTCATGGGAAGCACTAAGCCTGTTGGGAATCTAAAGAAATTGGTTTCAATCCAAGGGAATGTACCTTCAATTCCTTCCACTACCAGCAAGCCCCCTTTCCCTTAAAAGATGCACTTATAAAATTAACAATAACCCCAATGCTCTCCCATCTGGGTACGACTTGAGTGAATCAGTTGAATCACTGTCTGATGACCAATAAACAGAATCTGATCTATATGGCTGTGGAGGAGAAATGAAAACTAGTCATCAACCTGGAGACTTGGTCTGACACTGGACCATGGTCATGGTTGCCCTAAGACCCATGACAGAGAACAGACAGACAGCTTGCATACCTTTCGCTTATCCATGAGACCTTGCTTGAGAATAAGGTTGCCTTCCACAAATTTGTGCCACTTGTTCCCACGTTCTTGAGCAGCAAGTCTTAGTATATATTCCTCTTGACTAACATCAGCAATGTTCCTTTTCACTGTAAATATTATACATAAGAATGTTTGATGCATAAAATGTAAGAAAATATAACATTAAAAGACATATATATATATGTTATAATTAGGTGCATTACAATTTAGGACATAATTTGGCTCTATACATTACGATTAAGCACATTACAAATTAACACATTATAACTAATTTTAATTAATTTTAATTTTAATGTACTACATCCATACTACCATCAATAAACATCATACATTTACAAAAAACACATACTGAAACACACATACAAATAGTTATAATTTCTGGATAACGAGAGCTCCCAATGGAGAATGAGCCCTGAGTTTTTTCTGAAGAATAATTTCAAGGGGAAACCATGCTAGGCTGTCTAATTGCATTTTGAAATGTTAAATGTCAAATTCAGCAAAGAGCAGTACTGCACTTCACAGAACAGTACATGACTGTAAAGGGTATGGTGATGCCAGCAACATGTGAATAAAGACATTAACTTACAGTTCAGGACACTTATTAAAGGAAGCATTTTCAAACGAGTAACTTCATCAAAAACATGTGCAACACTTAGGTATCTTTATTCTTCTCAATAAAGATAACCAAGTGTTGCACATGCATCTAATTCATCAACTTGTTAGTTCTCTGAACCATTTATCTACAGTGACTTCACCAGAAGTGTTGAAACCACTCAGTGTGAAACGTTTCTTAAACTGAACTCAAGTGTCTCTATCCACAAAAGAAGCTACACAGTTTGCCACATCACTTGACGAACCAATCAGAGAGCAGAAAACGTCCTTAGATGCACACTGTGGGTGCTCACAGAATATGATCCACAGGATTTGAACAGGTCACAAATCAAGTAGTTCTGTTTCCAAGCAACTTCTCTCCCCACAGATATTTGAATTTAGTTCTAAACATCAACAAGATAAACATAAACACAAGGAGGTTATCTAAGAGATGAAGCTCATTACTGCATCTACAATAATTTTACCAAGATGCTTTATACCAGAGATTCTTAACAAAGGGGAGATGGGAATAATTTCCAGGAAAGGGCACAAACTCTGAGCAAAAATAAAGAATTGCCTTAACATGTAGTAGCTCAGAAACAAAAATTTCATGAAAAACCTGTTTTCTTGGAGGCTTCATTGTCACCAGTCTTGCAATTCTTAGTTTTCCCTTCCTCATCTTTGAAATCATCGAGCCCAAGTATTAATTTCATCTCAATTGGTCCCAATCCAGGCTGATTTTTAAATTCCCATTCGACCTGAGTGACAAGAGAGATAATACTGTATACATGCCCTTTAGTAATTTTTTTATATACATTCAAATCATTACATCCTCCAGAAACAAGAAAAATGCTGACAAAAGCTTTTCAAGAGTGCTTAGGAAAAATAATAGGAGCTTGTTACAGTGAGTTTTGTGGTCTTACACGAAACTATGTCAAATTCTGTAAAAGACAAATAAAGCATTTAAGGCTTTACTCAACCAAATGCAGTCACTTTAAGGGTTTTAATTACCTACTAATAGACTGTAGGGAATTAAGGGGGTTCTGATCCTTTAATTCTTTCTTTAGTGGGTTCTGATCCCTCAAACTGATAAAATTAATAAACTGAGAGATCATTCCGCCTACCTCATTGCCAACATGTGGCATAAAGGGTTCAATTTTCGGAGGTGTCATCTCGTGTAAAGAGTCAAAATCTAGGCCAGCAAAAAGAGGGTGGTTTCTTATGCTAGGATAACCCTCTCTGTCTTGAGCCCCCAATCTCTGATCTGCTTCAACCACCTGTCAAAATAAAATGGTTCTACATCATACTCTTAACACACAGCATAAGATGCAGTGAAAATAAATACTGGCAAACTATAAAAATTCTTCCAACATCTCCAAAACTCTTGCAAGATCTTTAGCATTCTCAAAATCCAAAAATGAATATATACCAAAGTGATGTAGGTAACAAATATATATAGAATCACAATCAAAACTTATGAAATAAAATGAAAGAGTAAAAGAATAAATAAGACACCATCACAATTATAAAATCTAAGTTAATTGGGATGGATATGCCTGCATTTTTCTCAAGGGTCTGCCATACAGAGAAAAAGAGAAAAGGATGAGGTGAACAAGAAGTTGCATGCCATATCAAATAAGACTGAGATTAAAAATGTCAATTCTACTATGACTCTCCAGATTACACAGCTAGACCAATAACTAAATAGGTTCCCAAAGTTTTTGTGGTTTGCACCTACAGCTAACCATGAAATTACAGAAGACTAAGATATGAATATGGCAGAACATTGCAGGAATAATAAATGTACTGTAGTGCTATCAAGAGAAATGTTATCACTGCATCCACCAATAAAAATCAATTCCCTTCCTTTCTAAACAAAAGAAAAAATGAACGAGAATCTAGCCAAGTGTATCTTGAAAAAACAGATGAAGTAAAGGGTGCAAGAGACCAAACTGCCAGTTTTGTAAATGAAAGTCCAGAGTTGTACTGATTCAGCCATAGAGAGTACAAAAGATTTCTGCATGGGAAGCCCCAAAGTGGATTTAGCAACAATTGGGGTTACCCACACAGAACTGTTTTGTTGTCAAGTCAATGCAGCTCTGAACTTTAAATTGCAAAAACTGCAGTTTGGACCCGAGTACTAATTACACAAGAATGTCATTCATTCTTATAAGAATGCATATTTATTTACTCTTCCCAATATTTCTTAACACCCTAACCATCTCCCACTGAGGTAAGGTGACCTGAAAAAGAAGCACTTTCATTATCATTCACACTATCACTGTTCATTCTAAATTTATATTTTCTTCCTGAAATTAAAAGCCATTATATGTGTGTGAGCATGTTAGATAGGAGTGAATGGAGACGAATGGTTTTTGGGACCTGACAAGCTGTTGGAGTGTGAGCAGGGTAATATTTTGTGAAGGGATTCAGGGAAACCTGTTAGCCAGGCTTGAGTCCTGGGGGTGGGAAGTACAACACCTGCACTTTAAAGGAGGGGTTTAGGATATTGGCTGTTTGGAGTGACATTTACACTGCCATATTTGAGCGCATTCACAAAGACAGTGATTTTGTACAAAAGATGGGGAAAGAGTTGAACGATGGTGAAAGTGTTTCTAAGTTTTTTGGGTCACCCTGCCTCAGCAGGAGACGGCCGACATGTTGAAAGAAAAAAAATCTTTAATTCTTTCTGACAATTAGATATATTATAAATTCTTCAATTATTCCTATACTTTCCTTTTGAATTTGAATAACAAAATAATTTAAAATTCAACAAACTAAGTTTTTTACCAAAAGTTTTTGAACCAAGTCCTTAGCTTCTTCACAGAATCCATCAGGGAATTCATAATGCAGTTTGAGTATCTTCTGGAAGATGTAGTATTCACTCCTGTAAATTGCAAGTTTTTTCAGTACACTAATCTCTCAAATTACTTGATATGGCCACTTCAAGAGGCCTTGTCACATGGTGTAATGATAATAGGTCTAAATCTTTGTTAATAGTGGGTTTACTACAGTATTATATATTTTCAGTTATTGTGAGAATATACAAAATGTAATACAGTATATTTACATATTGTATGTTACTATTATTATCCAAATTTTATTCACAGGGAAAGCACCAAAATCCATAGGGGCTATACAGTGCATGGGCAATGGAAGGCACTCAGGTTTGATTTAAGGAGAGGGGTAACCCCAATTCCATCGAACAAGAGCCCTTCAGTAGCATCAAGGCATCCACATTGAAGGGTACATACATACACTGCATCATACATAAGCATGAATCTCAACATACTTTGATCTAAAGGGTGGAAGACCAGAGACCATTTGGTAGACGATACAGCCAAGGGCCCACAAATCTGATGCCCGCCCACACGTTTTCGATTCTAACATTTCTGGTGAAACATACTGCGCTGTCCCTACGAAACTACCCTTACGTCCTATTCCACCTGAAATGAAAGATTCCATTGAAAAACTTACAAACGAGGGCAGAAATTAAATATTTCAATAATAAAGAAAGCTCATCATACAGGTGAACTTGTGCATTATAGGCAATAAAGCCAGATACAGCAATGTATAAATGTCAATTACTAATAAATAACTGAGGCAGCATCTTCATGTCCTAAGATTTACATCAAAATTATCATCAAAAATTACAACTAGGAACCATTTAGATTATATCCAATCATAAAAACAAAACAAAACATGATCAGTAAAATATTTTGTATAATGAAAAATACATCTTTTTTTTTTGTAAGTGCATTGAAAGCAAAATCCAAGACCTGATATTTAATATGGTCAATATGTAATTATTGTATCAAAAAAGCTTGAAACTGATATACAGTAACTGCTTATGTTTATTGTGCAGGAAAATATATCTCCGTTCTACACTACTGTACCTATAAGTTCCTGAATATTTCTTGTATAAATACACAGTACTTTTCAAAGTAACCATCAATTAATATTTTACAGAAGCATCACCTATATAAATAACAAAAAGGCACAATACCGTGACTGGAACGATACACAAATAACCCGCACATAAAAGAGAGAAGCTTACGACGACGTTTCGGTCCGACTTGGACCGTTGACAAAGTGTGACTTTGTCAATGGTCCAAGTCAGACCGAAACGTCGTCATAAGCTTCTCTCTTTTATGTGCGGGTTATTTGTGTATCACCTATATACCAATATCTATAAACAAGAAATCAATAGCAAAGAATAGCCTAAAAAAAATACACTGGCAACACTTACCAAAATATAATGGTCTTCCTCTTACTATTCTCACTACTATAATCAATACTATATTATTGTTCTTTCAAATATACCTGACTGAACCCCAATTACTTTTCCTTAACGAAATTCTCCAATCCCCCTTAGCTCTGTTTTCCTTAAGGAAGAACATTCATCTTCTTTTCAGTCATAACATTAATTTATTTCTTATCTATACTACCCAACATCAGAATTTCCTTATTTTCCTCCTAGAAATTAATACAGGAGAAGGTGTAACTAGCCCTTTGATCCTGCATTTTGGTCACCTTGAACAATATGCATTGCTTATGGAGGAAGACTTCTCACCCACTTCCTCATGTAATTGAAAGGAAACACTAAAAGGACAAGTGATATGAAATTAACAGGAAACTCAGTGTATAGAGATACATGCACCTGCAGTCTCATTTGTACTGTATATTGAGTGGAAGTAGCAATAGAAAGATTTACCTGTCTTTTGCATGTTTATGAGAGAAAGAAAAGAGATCAGCAATCCTACCAAACAAAACAACTAACAGTTTTCCATTTCAAACTCATTTGGCAAGAGAGTAATACCTTCCTGGGTGGTTGCTGTCTACCAACCAACCAACTTAAATTTTTTTTGTTACTATTATTAGGTATACATTAATACTACATTTATAATAATCAGACAAATGAAACTCACCGTCAACGCTCTCTGCTTCCCCTTCAGTTAGTATTTTTGCACAGCCGAAGTCTGTAATTTTGATGTGCATGCATTCATCTAGAAGAATGTTCTCGGGTTTAAGGTCCCTGCAAGAGTAAGTGGTTGCATCAGTATAAACTTGTTTATTTTTACCTTATTGATCATTACCCACCAGTGAAGGGTGGGAAATAAACTGAAGAAAACTTTCACTATCATTCATTTATTACTTACAGACATCACAGTTCTATGTTAACCCACTGAACTGCTACCTTCTCACTTCACTTTTTGCAGCACAGGCACTGTATAGTACTTCCCAGCTTTAAAACTCAAGTCCAGCTAACTGGTTTTCCTGAATCTATTTGTATATATTATCTTGCTAACCTCCACTCATAGCATTCTAACACAGTCATATATGCATGCTTTCATTTGTTCATAAACATGAGAGTAACTGTGCACTATTTATGGGTAGTGTTTTTTTTTTTTTTAACAAGTCAGCCATCACCCACCGAAGCAGGGTGACCCAAAAAGAAAGAAAATCCCAAAAAAGAAAATACTTTCATCATCATTCAACATTTGCACCTCACTCATATAAACTCACTGTTTTTGCAGAAGTGCCCAGAACACAACAGTTTAGAAGCATATACATATAAAGATACACAGCATATCCCTCCAAACTGCCAATATCCCAAACCCCTCCTTTAAAGTACAGGCATTGTACTTCCCATTTCCAGGACTCGAGTCCAGTTATATAAAAATAACTGGTTTCCCTGAATCCCTTCACTAAATATTACCCTGCTCACACTCCAACAGCTCGTCAGGTCCCAAATACCATTCGTCTCCATTCACTCCTATCTAACATGCTCACGCATGCTTGCTGGAAGTCCAAGCCCCTTGCCCACAAAACCTCCTTTACCCCCTCCCCCCAACCTTTTCAAGGATGACCCCTACCCCGCCTTCCTTCCCCTACAGATTTATAAGCTCTCCATGTCATTCTACTTTGATTCACTCTCTTTAAATGACCAAACCATCTCAACAACCCCTCTTCAGCCCCCTGACTAATATTTTTATTAATTCCACACCTTCTCCTAATATAAACACTCCAAATTTTCTGCATAATATTTACACCACACATTGTCCTTAGACAGGACATCTCCACCGCCTCCTTGCTGCAGCATTTACAACCCAAGCTTCACAACCATACAAGAGTGTTGGCACCATTATACTTTCATACATTCCCTTCTTTGCCTCCATAGATAATGTTTTTTGTCTCCACATATACCTCAATGCACCACTCACCTTTTTTCCTTCATCAATTTTGTGGTTAACCTCATCCTTCATACATCCATCCGCTGACACATCAACTCCCAAATATCTGAAAACATTCACTTCTTCCATACTACTCCTCTCTAATTTGATATCCAATTTTTCTTGATCTAAATCATTTGATACCCTCATCACCTTACTCTTTTCTAAGTTCACTTTCAACTTTCTACCTTTACACACTCTCCGAAACTCGTCCACTAACCTTCGTAACTTTTCTTTAGAACCTCCCATAAGCACAGTATCATCAGCAAAAAGTAACTGTGTCAATTCCCATTTTGTCATTGATTCCCCATAATTTATTTCCACCCCTCTCCCCAACACCCTAGTATTTACTTCTTTTGCAACCCCATCTATAAATATATTAAACAACCATGGTGACATTACACATCCCTGTCTAAGACCCAACTTTACCAGGAAGTAGTCTCCCTCTCTTCTACACATCCTAACCTGAGCCTCACTATCCTCATAAAAACTCTTTCCAGCATTTAGTAACTTAATACCTATTCCATATATTTGCAACATCTCCCACATTGCTCCCCTATCCACTCTATCATATCCGCTTAATGGGGCATACAAACTATTTACACTATAGCTAACCGTACAAATCTGTGGGCTTTCATATTCATGGATACTGATTATCCAACATTTTTACTAAATGACAACCAGCAAAAAGATTCAAATATCTATGGTTTATCTGGCACAATGGCTTCCCCATTCCCACATCTCTCATTATTTTGTGCAACATATGGATATTACTTGCTAGGGAATATTTTTTTTTTTTTTTTTAACAAGTCGGCAGTCTCCCACCGAGGCAGGGTGACCCAAAAAAAAGAAAGAAAATCCCCAAAAAGAAAATACTTTCATCATCATTCAACACTTTCACCACACTCGCACATTATCACTGTTTTTGCAGAGGTGCTCAGAATACAACAGTCTAGAAGCATATACGTATAAAGATACACAACATATCCCTCCAAACTGCCAATATCCCAAACCCCTCCTTTAAAGTGCAGGCACTGTACTTCCCATTTCCAGGACTCAAGTCCGACTATATGAAAATAACCGGTTTCCCTGAATCCCTTCACTAAATATTACCCTGCTCACACTCCAACAGATCGTCAGGTCCCAAGTACAGTGGACCCCCGCATAACGATGGCATCACATAGCGATTAATCCGCATACCGCTTGCTTTAATCGCAAAAATTTTGCCTCACATACCGCTTAAAAACCCTCTCACCGATTTTCGTCCGAGACGCGTCCAATGTGCGGCCTGAGCCACGCTCACATATTCCGCCGGTGGCATTGTTTACCAGCCAGCCTCCGCGGTAACATCCAAGCATACAATCGGAATATTTCGTATTATTACAGTGTTTTCGGTGCTTTTTCTGGAAAATAAGCGACCATGGGCCCCAAGAAAGCTTCTAGTGCCAACCCTACAGCAATAAGGGTGAGAATTACAATAGAGATGAAGAAAAAGATCATTGATAAGTTTGAAAGTGGAGTGCGTGTCTCCGAGCTGGCCAGGTTGTATAATAAACCCCAATTAACCATCGCTACTATTGGTGGTACAGCTGCTGCTGCTGCTGCACTGTCAGCTGCTGCTGCTGCTGTAGCATCGTCTGCTGCTGCTGTAACATCGTCTGTTGCTGCTGTAGCATCGTCTGTTGCTGCTGTACCACCGTCAGCTGCTGCTGCTGCTGCTGTAGCATCGTCTGCTGCTGCTGTAGCATCGTCTGCTGCTGCTTTTAGCATCGTCTGTTGCTGCTGTACCACCGTCAGCTGCTGCTGCTGCTGTAGCACCGTTGTTGGTGTGGCTTATTGAGAATACCAAGAAACAATTAACCCAGAGGATTTGCCACCCAGGATAACCCAAAAAAGTCAGTGTCATCGAAGACTGTCTAACTTATTTCCATTGGGGTCCTTAATCTTGTCTCCAGGATGCAACCCACACAAGTCGACTAACACCCAGGTGAACAGGGAAAAATGCCTGGAACTAGTGCTCATATTGGTGAATTTAAAGCCAGCAAAGGTTGGTTTGAGAGATTTAAGAATCGTAGTGGCATACACAGTGTGATAAGGCCTGTTCTGGAAGAAAATGCCAAACAGGACCTACAGTACTCAGGAGGAAAAGGCACTCCCAGGACACAGTGTCTCATCAGTCATTGCTGCATCTTCAATAAAGGTAAGTGTCATTTATTCTTCATTTAGTAGACTAGTACATGCACAATATATACTGTGCATGTACTACTCTACTATTGTGCATGTATCCTTCTCTTTGTGTGTGGGAAAATGTATATTTCATGTGGTAAAAATTTTTTTTTCATACTTTTGGGTGTCTTGCACGGATTAATTTGATTTCCATTATTTCTTATGGGGAAAATTCATTCGCATACCGATTATTTCGCATAACAATTACCCCTCTTGCACAGATTAAAATCGTTATGCGGGGGTCCACTGTACCATTCGTCTCCATTCACTCCTATTTAACACGCTCACGCACGCTTGCTGGAAGTCCAAGCCCCTTGCCCACAAAACCTCCTTTACCCCCTCTCTCCAACCCTTTCGAGGACGACCCCTACCTCGCCTTCCTTCCCCTATAGATTTATATGTTTTCCATGTCATTCTACTTCGATCCATTCTCTCTAAATGACCAAACCACCTCAACAACCCCTCTTCTGCCCTCTGACTAATACTTTTATTAACTCCACATCTTCTCCTAATTTCCACACTCCGAATTTTCTGCATAATATTTACACCACACATTGCCCTTAAACAGGACATCTCCACTGCCTCCAACCGTCTCCTCGCTGCTGCATTTACCACCCAAGCTTCACACCCATATAAGAGTGTTGGTACTCCTATACTTTCATACATTCCCTTCTTTGCCTCCATAGATAACGTTTTTTGACTCCACATATACCTCAATGCACCACTCACCTTTTTTCCCTCATCAATTCTATGATTAACCTCATCCTTCATAAATCCATCCGCCACCACATCAACTCCCAAGTATCTGAAAACATTCACTTCTTCCATACTCCTCCTCCCCAATTTGATATCCAATTTTTCTTTATCTAAATCATTTGATACCCTCATCACCTTACTCTTTTCTATGTTCACTTTCAACTTTCTACTTTACACACATTCCCAAACTCATCCACTAACCTTTGCAATTTTTCTTTAGAATCTCCATAAGCACAGTATCATCAGCAAAAAGTAACTGTGTCAATTCCCATTTTGAATTTGATTCCCCAAAATTTAATCCCACCCCTCTCCCGAACACCCTAGCATTTACTTCCTTTACAACCCCATCTATAAATATATTAAACAACCATGGTGACATTACACATCCCTGTCTAAGACCTACTTTTACCGGGAAGTAGTCTCTCTCTCTTCTACACACCCTAACCTGAGCCTCACTATCCTCATAAAAACTCTTTACAGCATTTAATAACTTACCACCTATTCCATATACTTGCAACATCTGCCACATTGCTCCTCTATCCACTCTATCATATGCCTTTTCTAAATCCATAAATGCAATAAAAACTTCCCTATCTTTATCCAAATACTGTTCACATATATGCTTCAATGTAAACACTTGATCTACACATCCCCTACCCACTCTGAAACCTCCTTGCTCATCCGCAATCCTACATTCTGTCTTACCTCTAATTCTTTCAATTATAACCCTACCGTACACTTTTCCTGGTATACTCAATAAACTTATTCCTCTATAATTTTTACAATCTCTTTTGTCCCCTTTCCCTTTATATAAAGGGACTATACATGCTCTCTGCCAATCCCTAGGTACCTTCCCCTCTTTCATACATTTATTAAACAAAAGTACCAACCACTCCAACACTATATCCCCCCCTGCTTTTAACATTTCTGTCATGATCCCATCAGTTCCAGCTGCTTTACCCCCTTTCATTTTACGTAATGCCTCGCGTACCTCCCCCACACTTACATTCTGCTCTTCTTCACTCCTAAAAGATGGTATACCTCCCTGACCAGTGCATGAAATTACTGCCTCCCTTTCTTCCTCAACATTTAAAAGTTCCTCAAAATATTCTCGCCATCTACCTAATACCTCCCTCTCCCCATCTACTAACTCCCCTACTCTGTTTTTAACTGACAAATCCATACTTTCGCTAGGCTTTCTTAACTTGTTTAACTCACTCCAAAATTTTTTCTTATTTTCATTAAAATTTCTTGACAGTGCCTCTCCCACTCTATCATCTACTCTCCTTTTGCACTCTCACCACTCTCTTCACCTTTCTTTTACTGTCCATATACTCTGCTTTTCTTATAACGCTTCTGCTTTGTAAAAACCTCTCATAAGCTAACTTTTTCTCTTTTATCACACCCTTTACTTCATCATTCCACCATTCCATCATTATATATATCGGTGGGAGACGGCCAATTTGTTGGAAAAAAACAAAAAAAATATATATATATATATACATGTATATATATATATTTTTTTTTTTCAACATTTATATATACATATATATATACATATATATATATATATATATATACATATATATATATATATATATATATATATATATATATATACTACACAAGTAATTCTACGGACATAACAAGCATTTCATTTATCATCTTGTCAGCTTCCTAAACCATTAATCCACATTTATTTCTTATGAATGACAATATTAACCAGACAGAATGACCTGTTAAAGTGATAGGCTCTTGGAAACAAAAAGTGAAAACTAAGAAAATTTGCTAGGCAGATTTATTCTTCAAATATTCATGGTATCTAGTTTCATGGTGCCTCTTGCAACTTAGCCCTTATAAACTTGTAGGAAAGATTACAGAAATACAGGAGGCTGAAAAACAAATTTTTTATACACATATAACCCACACATAAGAGATAGGAGCTTATGACATTTCAGTCCAAATTGGACCATTGACAGTGTGACTTGTCAATGGTTCAAGTCAGATCAAAACATTGTCGTAAGTTTCTTTCTCCTATGTGCGCTTATTCGTGTATCATTCCAATCACAGTATTGTCTTTTTGTTCACATTTTTTATTATCATATACTCACCGGTGAATAATGTTTAACGAGTGTAGGTGCTCTAGTGCTCTCACAAGTTCTGCTGTGTAGAACCTGGCACATTCTCTGTCAAAATTACCAACTCTCTGTATAAGATTCAGAAGTTCCCCGTTCTTGCAATACGTCATTACAAAATCTGAATATGTGCTTAAGGAACAGAATATTCTTTTTAGTAGGCATGTTTTGTATATCAAATTATGCCATATACAGTGGACCCTCGACCAACGATGGCATCGATTAACGATAAATCCGACTAGCGATACATTTTATCGCAAAAATTTTGCCTCGACTAGCGCTAAAAAACCCGACCAACGCTATTCCTTCCGTTCGAGACGCGTCCACTTTGGCGTGAGCGCGCCTCACTTGTCCCATGGGTGCCAGTGTTTACAAGCCAGCCAGCCACCGTGGTCGCTTCCAAACATACAATTGGAACATTTCATATTATCATAGCCTTTGTAGTGATTGCACCTGCAAAATAAGTCACCATGGGCCCCAAGAAAGCTTCTAGTGCCAACCCTAAAGCAAAAAGGGTGAGAATTATTATGGAGATGAAGAAAGAGATCATTGCTAAGTATGAAAGTGGAGTGCGTGTCTCCGAACTGGTCAGGTTGTCTAGTAAACCCCAATCAACCATCGCTACTATTGTGAGCAAGAAAACGGCAATCAAGGAAGCTGTTCTTGCCAAAGGTGCAACTACATGTATGTTTTCGAAACTGAGATCGCAAGTGATAGAAGATGTTGAGAGAGACTTATTGGTGTGGATTAACGAAAAACAGATAGCAGGAGATAGCATCTCTCAAGCGATCATATGTGAAAAGGCTAGGAAGTTGCATGACGATTTAATTAAAAAAATGCCAGCAACTAGTGGTGATGTGAGTGAATTTAAGGCCAGCAAAGGTTGGTTTGAGAGCTTTAAGAAGCGTAGTGACATTCATAGTGTGATAAGGCATGGTGAGGCTGCCAGGACCACAAAGCAGCTGAAAAATATGTGCAGGAATTCAAGGAGTACATAGACAGTGAAGGACTGAAATCTGAACAAATGTTTAATTGTGACGAAACAGGCCTGTTTTGGAAGAAAATGCCAAGCAGGACCTACATTACTCAGGAGGAAAAGGCACTCCCAGGACATAAGCCTATGAAAGACAGGCTTGCTCTGTTGATGTGTGCCAATGCTAGTGGTGATTGCAAAGTGAAGCCTTTATTGGTGTATCACTCTGAAACTACCAGTGTTCAAGAAAAACAATGTCCTCAAGTCTAATTTGTGTGTGCTGTGGAGGGCAAACAGTAAGGCATGGGTCACTATGGACTTTTTCTATGGCTGGTTACACCATGCATTTGCCCCCACTGTGAAAAATTACCTAATTGAAAAGAAATTAGACCTTAAGTGCCTCCTGGTATTAGACAATGCCCCTGGTCATCCTTCAGACTTGGCAGAGCGACTTTCTAGGGACATGAGCTTCATTAAGGTGAAGTTTTTGCCTCCTAATACCACTCCTCTCCTGCAGCCCATGGACCAGCAGGTCATTTCCAACTTCAAGAAACTGTACACAAAAGCTATGTTTGAAAGGTGCTTTGTAGTAACTTCAGAAACTCAACTGACTCTAAGAGAGTTTTGGAAAGATCACTTTACCATCCTCAATTGTGTAAACATTATAGGTAAGGCTTGGGAGGAAGTAACTAAGAGGACCTTGAACTCTGCTTGGAAAAAACTGTGGCCAGAATGTGTAGACAAAAGGGATTTTGAAGGGTTTGAGGCTAACCCTGAGAATCCTATGCCAGTTGAGGAATCCATTGTGGCTTGGGAAAGTCCTTGGGGTTGGAGGTTAGTGGGGAGGATGTGGAAGAGTTGGAGGAGGAGGACAATGAAAAACTAACCACTGATGAGCTGCTAGATCATCTTCATCAGCATGAGGCCACACCTGAGGAAACTGCTTCGGAGGAGGGGATAGAGAAATTGAAGAAGTTGCCTACTTCTAAGATTAAAGAAATCTGTGCAATGTGGCTTAAAGTGCAAACCTTTATGGGTGAAAATCACCCTGACACAGCTACTGCAAGCCGTGTTGGCAACCTGTACACTGACAATGTTGTGAAACACTTTAGAAATGTCATAAAGGAACGGGAGGTACAGGCCTCTATGGACAGGTATGTTGTGCGACAGAAGTCCAGTGACTCTGAAGCTGGTCCTAGTGGCATTAAGAGAACAAGGGAAGTAACCCCGGAAAAAGACTTGCTACCTCAAGTCCTAATGGAAGGGGATTCCCTTTCTAAACACTAAGAAGATCAACACTCTCCCCTCCTCCCATCCGATCAATCATCACCAGACCTTCAAAAAAGGTAAGTGTCATGTAACTGTGCATGTCTTCTTCAGTTTGTGTGTATTAAAATTAATATTTCATGAGGTAAATTTTTTTTTTTCAATACTTTGGGGTGTCAGGAACGGATTAATTTGATTTCCATTATTTCTTATGGGGAAAATTAACTCGAAAACGATAATTTTGATTAACGATGAGCTCTCAGGAACGGATTAATATCGCTGGTCGAGGGTCCACTGTACTGTATTATAATCATGGGTGGGAGACAGCCAATGTGTTGAAAATACTGTACTGTAGTGGCAAAAGACCAAAATATACTGAAAGAGGAAACAGTAAGTACTACAGCTACTGGAAATCAAAAAAGCTATTTTTTGTTTTAAACACCGGCCATCTCCCACCGAGAAAGGGTGACTCGAAAAAGAAACATTTTCACCATCATTCACACTATCTCTATCTTGCCAGAGGTGCACAAATATGACAGTTCACTATATGATGAGTAAATTAATGAAGGTTGAAGCACTGGTCTACTCCTGTGGCTACCTTTTATTTATTTATCTTTAATTTTTGCAAGTTTGCAATTTATATCCTACTATATGTACAGTACTAGCAATATATTTAATGTTTGAAATACACATTTAAGACAATTAAATCTATTATTTTGTGCTATATTTGAAAAAAATTAATATTTCAGTTATTTCAATTCCAGATGTACATAAGCAGTAAATTCCAAAAGCAGCTAGCAATGCTCTAGATATGAGGGGCCAATAACGATGTATTTAGTGGAAGACAAAGAAACACTACAGGCTTTGGCAAAACCAAAGTCAGCAAGGAAATAAGTCACCTTGAACAGTAAGAATAGTAGAATAGTAATATTCACTGTCCCCGTTATTTATTCTTATTTCCATTTATTTATGTTTAGTTAAAGTAGTGAGAGGGTGAGTAGTGTGGAGTGGTGGGTAGAGTAATAAGAGGTGAAGGTGTAGTCACCAGTGACCTCACATTACCTACCTACCTACCGCTCACCTCTCCTGTCATCTCCTACCACCTCGCCTGCATGTCCCCTACCTACTAACTCCCTCCTCTTACCCCCATATTCCCCTAATCATTCCCCCCTACATGACATCCTCTCTAAATCTCACTCTCTTGATATGATGACATAACAAGGGCAGCAGCTGGCAAGAAATGTGCCCCATTATAAATATTTTTTTTTTTTATCAACAAGTTGGCCGTCTCCCACCGAGGCAGGGTGACCCAAAAAAAAAGAAAATCCCAAAAGAAAATACTTTCATCATCATTCAACACTTTCACCACACTCACACATTATCACTGTTTTTGCAGAGGTACTCAGAATACAACAGTTTAGAAGCATAGATGTATAAAGATACACAACATATCCCTCCAAACTACCAATATCCCAAACCCCTCCTTTAAAGTGAAGGCATTGTACTTCCCATTTCCAGGACTCAAGTCCGACTATATGAAAATAACCGGTTTCCCTGAATCCCTTCACTAAATACTACCCTGCTCACACTCCAACAGATCGTCAGGTCCCAAGTACCATTCATCTCCATTCACTCCTAACACGCTCACGCACACTTGCTGGAAGTCCAAGCCCCTCGTCCACAAAACCTCCTTTACCCCCCCTCTCCAACCCTTTCGAGGATGACCCCTACCCCGCCTTCCTTCACCTATAGATTTATATGCTTTCATGTCATTCTACTTTGATCCATTCTCTCCCAAATGACCAAACCACCTCAACAAACCCCCCTTCTGCCCTCTGACTAATACTTTTATTAAAATCCACACCTTTTCCTAATTTCCCCCACTCCGAATTTTCTGCATAATATTACAACCCCCACATTGCCCTTAGACAGGACATCTCCACCTGCCTCCAACCGTCTCCTCGTGCTGCATTTACCACCCAAGCTTCACATCCATATAAGAGTGTTGATACTACTATACTTTTATACATTTTTCCTTCTTTGCCTCCATTGTTAACGTTTTTTTACTCCCCATATACCTCAACGCACCACTCACCTTTTTTCCCTCATCAATTCTATGATTAACCTCATCCTTCCTAAATCCATCCGCCGACACGTCAACTCCCAAGTATCTGAAAACATTCACTTCTTCCATACTCCTCCTTCCCAATTTGATATCCAATTTTTCTTTATCTAAATCATTTGATACCCTCATCACCTTCTCTTCTATGTTCACTTTAACTTTCTCCCCTTCACCATTCCCCCAAATTTTTCCACTAACCTTTTCAATTTTTTTTTTGAATCCCATAAGACAGTATCATCGCAAAAAGT